CAAGAGATCCACTTCCTGGACACTACAGTGCTAATAAACAATGGTCACATAAACACCACCCTATACCGGAAACCTACTGACCGCTATTCCTACCTACATGCCTCCAGCTTTCACCCTGACCACACCACACGATCCATCGTCTACAGCCAAGCTCTGCGATACAACCGCATTTGCTCCAACCCCTCAGACAGAGACAAACACCTACAAGATCTCTGTCAAGCTTTCTTACAACTACAATACCCACCTGCGGAAGTGAAGAAACAGATTGATAGAGCCAGAAGCGTTCCCAGAAGTCACCTACTACAGGACAGGCCTAACAAAGAAAATAACAGAACACCACTAGCCGTCACCTTCAGCCCCCATCTAAAACCCCTCCAACGCATTATTAAGGATCTACAACCTATCCTGAAGGATGACCCAACACTCTCACAAATCTTGGCAGACAGGCCAGTCCTTGCCTACAGACAGCCCCGCAACCTGAAGCAAATACTCACCAACAACCACATACCACACAACAGAACCACTAACCCAGGAACCTATCCTTGCAACAAAGCCCGTTGCCAACTGTGCCCACATATCTATTCAGGGGACACCATCACAGGGCCTAATAACATCAGCCACACTATCAGAGGCTCGTTCACCTGCACATCCACCAATGTGATATATGCCATCATGTGCCAGCAATGCCCCTCTGCCATTTACATTGGTCAAACTGGACAGTCTCTACGTAAAAGAATAAATGGACACAAATCAGATGTCAAGAATTATAACATTCATAAACCAGTCGGAGAACGCTTCAATCCCTCTGGTCACGCAATCACAGACATGAAGGTCGCTATCTTACAACAAAAAAACTTCAAATCCAGACTCCAGTGAGAAACTGCTGAATTGGAATTCATTTGCAAATTGGATACTATTAATTTAGGCTTAAATAGAGACTGGGAGTGGCTAAGTCATTATGCAAGGTAGCCTATTTCCCCTTGTTTTTTCCTACCCCCCCCGCCCCCAGATGTTCTGGTTTAACTTGGATTTAAACTTGGAGAGTGGTCAGTTTGGATGAGCTATTGCCAGCAGGAGAGTGAGTTTGTGTGTGTGTGTGTTCCCCGGGGGGAGGGGGGGGAGCCTGGATTTGTGCTGGAAATGGCCCACCTTGATTACCATGCACATTGTAGGGAGAGTGGTCACTTTGGATAAGCTATTACCAGCAGGAGAGTGAGTTTGTGTGTGTGGTTTCTGGAGGGGGGTGTGGGGGTGAGAGAACCTGGATTTATGCAGGAAATGGCCCACCTTGATTATCATACACATTGTGAAGAGAGTGGTCACTTTGGATGGGCTATTACCAGCAGGAGAGCGAGTTTGTGTGGGGGGGGGCGGAGGGTGAGAAAACCTGGATTTGTGCTGGAAATGGCCCAACTTGATGATCACTTTAGATAAGCTATTACCAGCAGGACAGTGGGGTGGGAGGAGGTATTGTTTCATGGTCTCTGTGTGTATATAATGTCTTCTGCAGTTTCCACGGTATGCATCCGATGAAGTGAGCTGTAGCTCACGAAAGCTCATGCTCAAATAAATTGGTTAGTCTCTAAGGTGCCACAAGTACTCCTTTTCTTTTTGCGAATACAGACTAACACGGCTGTTACTCTGAAACCTAACAAATAATCAAGCAATCAATTTGCAAACACTTAGAAGATAATAAGGTGATAAGTAACAGTCAGCATGGATTTGTCAAGAACAGATAGAGAAAACTATTAGGTTGGTTTGACACTGACAGGGTAACAAGCCTTGTGGATGGGGGGAGAAGTGATATATCTTGAGTTTAGTAAGGCTTTTGATATGGTCTTGCATGACCTTCTCACAAACAAAACTAGGGAAATACAACCTAGATGGAGCTCCTGTAAGTGGGTGCATAACTGGTTGGAAAACTGTTCCTAGCGAGTAGTTATCAGAAGGCTAAGATTTAGTCATGGATATTTTTAATAAAAGTCATGGACAGGTCATGGGCAATAAACAAAAATTCACTGCCCAGTGACCTGCCCATGACTCGTACTATATACCCCTGACTAAATCTGGGGGCTCCGGGGGCACAGTTGCTGCTCTGGAGAGGGGGCTCTGGGGCACCCACTAGTGCTGGGGGTTCCAGGGCACCCACTCGTACCGGAGGATGGGGGCTCTGGTGAGGGGCTGCCTGGGACCGCCACCGCTGCTGGTCAGAGATGGATCTGCTGGCCCAAAACCCCGCTGCTGCTGGCAGAGTGGCAGCCCGGGACCCCTGCTGCCAGTGTGGGGGGCAGCCAGGGACCACCACCAGTGCTGCGGGGGGCGGTGCAGCTGGCCCCAGGACTCAGTCGCACCTGCCAGCTGCAGAAGTCATGGAGGTCCCGGAAAGTCACAGAATCTGTGACTTCAGTGACCTCTGTGACAGACTCGCAGCCTCAGTTAACGGTGGTTCACAGTCAAGCTGGAAGGGCATACTGAGTGGAGTCCCACAGGGGTTGGTCCTGGGCCCAGGTTCTGTTCAATATCTTCATTAATGATTTAGATAATGGCATAGAGTAGACTTATAAAATTTGTGGACAATACCAAGCTGGGTTGCAAGTGCTTTGGAGGATCGGATTAAAATTCAAAATGATCTGGACAAAGAGTCTGAAGTAAAAAGGATGACATTCAATAAGGACAAATGCACAGCACTCCACTTAGGAAGGAACACTCAACTGCACACATACAAAATGGGAAATGACTGCCTAGGAAGCAGTACTGCGGAAAGGGATGCGAGAGGGTCAGAGTGGATCACAAGCTAAATGAGTCAACGGTGTAACATTGTTGCAAAAAAGGCAAACATCATTCTGGGATGTATTCGCAGGAGTGTTGTAAGCAAGACACAAGAATTAATTCTTCTGCTCTACTCCGTGCTGATAAGGCCTCAGCTGGAGTATTGTGTCTAGCTCTGGGCACCACATTTCAGCAAAGATGTCGCCAAATTGGAGAAAGTCCAGAGAAGAGCAACAAAAATGCTGAAAGGTCTAGAAAAAATGACTTATGAGGAAAGATTGAAAAAATTGGCTTTGTTTAGTCTGGCGAAGAGAATACTGAGAGGGGACACGATAACAGTTTTCAAGTACATAAAGGGTTGTTACAAGGAGGAGGGAGAAAAATTGTTCTCATTAACCTCCGAGGACAGGACAAGAAGCAATGGGCTTAAATTGCAGCAAGGGAGGTTTAGGTTGGACATTAGAGAAAACTTTCTAACTGTCAGGGTAGTTAAGCACTGGAACAAACTGTGGAATCTCCATAATTGGAGGTTTTTGAGAACAGGTTAGACAAACACCTGCCAGGGATGGTCTAGTTATCACATAGTCCTGCCTTGAGTGCAGGGGACTGGACTAGAGGACCTCAAGATCCCTTCCAGGCCTACTCTTCTATGATTCTAAGAATCCTCCTCCCAACCTCTTTGACTCCTTCTGAACAGGCATCTGGAGACACTCCCAATTGCCCAAGAAAGGGAAGTGACTCACAGTGAGAAACCATCTCAGAGTTAAACTCTCTGAAACCAATTCACCTGCTAATATCAGCATACAATAGACTGCTTCTGTAAATATTGATTCATCCTCTCTGGGCTGTGTGCTCTGCCCTTCAGTCTCACAGGTCTGAGCCCTAGACAGAAATTTGCAACGCAGCTTTCACTTCATTAGGTGTCCAGGATGCACATTAAAGTAGTGAATCCAGGGTTCTCTCTTGCAACCCACCCCCAAAATAAAGGAAAGTGTGGGGGGACCAGTCACCAGAAGAATGTATGTCCCCAAAAGGGATAAAGGTGTAAGAGATAGCAAAGATAGTACCAAAAATACACAAGTGAAGGGTTGGCTGGTTTCCAGGGAAGGGAACAGCTGGATGTAAAGGAAAAATGCATGGTGGGGTCACCATCCTTTGAAGGAGAAACTAGTCTCTACTTGGAAAGGATGACAACCCAGAAGAAAAGTGGCTGTGGGTTATTACAGCCTGCCTGAAGGAGGAGACTGGACTTTCCTTTAGCAGGCTGTTGATTCCATGGCAGATTCTGCACAGGTGTTTCAGCAGCATTTGCTCAGCTTTGCAGGTGGCAGCTCAAACCCCATGAACACAAGTGAGTCTAAGGCCCTTGCAGATACACAGAGTCTCCCAGGGAATGCATACACAGGTCACAGCATACGGTACAGTGAGTAATTACAGCAGGTTTTCCCCACTCCCCAGTGTGTTCTAAGGCACGAAGCTGGTGTTCTGACAGAAGCGTGTGTGTAGAGGAGACGGGCAGTGAGGTGTGTACCAGGATCTTCCCGTGCTCCCATTTTATTACTTCCCTCAAATATCCTGTACTGGTCAAACCAGCCTTCCAGGCTGTAAGCAACTCTCACCAGAGCATGTTAATGCCCCCTCTTCATTCAACCACATGGGGGTCGCTCAAGAGCTCTGGGAGAGGTAAACTCCCCCCTCAGCTGACCATGCTGTCTCTGTACTGTTCCCAGCTAGGGCTGCCACGTGCAGAACAATCTCTCTCACCCTCACCCTGCTGGTTTTCTATAAAACCCCTCACCGTGGTGTCTGGGTGCAAAATGGCAATGCTTACATCACAAAGCAATGGTGTTATCTCACTGCATCACCGTGGGCCCCAAGATCAATTTCAGGACCTTGTCAGTGTCCCATAATCATTGTCCATAGGGCCACCGTCCCCACAAAAAGGCTAGCCAGACCCAGGAAAGCCAGAGCAGGGGATGGCAACCTTACCAGGGAACTGAGCTCAGCATTTACACTCAGACCCTCTTGAAGACATCAGTCCCCCAGAGGAGTCCTCACTTTGCAAAACACGAGAGCAGCCTGGCTCTCAAGTCTCCCCCAAGCTCTCTGGCACCTGCCCAATTCAAAGCAGCATCAGTCTCACCCCTCCTCTCACCCAGCCCCTTGTAAATCCCTCCAACCATGCAGCCGCGCACAGGTGCCTGCATCTCCCCTCTCCTCCAGCCACTCACCTTTCAGGGTCCCCAGCAGTGGCTCTTTCCCAGTCATGCCGCCCCCCTCCCCAGCCGCAGCAGCCCGACAGACACCTGCAGGGCTCCACCCAGTGGCGACTGTGAGTCCCTTCCGCAAACACAGGGCAACATACTGGGAGATACCACTCACTCTGCAGCAGACAGGGGGGAGCAGAGGGAGCAAGGCCCAGTTCAGTGTCTTTGCTGGGAGCCCAATACAAGGCTGTGCATTAGGGAAGCTGGAATGGACTCATCAGCTCTCCTGGAGGGAGACGAATCATGCTCCCGGGATGGTGGGCTGGGGTGAATGATTAGGAGGGGCTATAGACACCCCTCCCCGGAAGAGATTTTAGGCTCTTCCAGCAGCTTTGGAATGTTGATACTTATTATCCTGCAACAAGTCAGCGGCGTGATGACGCTGATCAGAGAAACAGTCCTGAAGTGGGTGGGTTGCATCCTGACACCTCTGTGGAGGGCCAAGGAAAAGCCAGACCTCATTATCATTACTTGGTATTATTCCTGAATGTGCCTTTTAGTTCCCATTAAACAAACACCAGGATCTCCAAATGCAACAACATTCAATCAACTACATTTCTTCACATCACTGTCTGCACTACAGCCATACAATTAAATCAGACTGTAATAATTAACAAGGCCAAACTAGGGGTGTTTGCAATGACAGATAGGAGGACTGTGCATCTCACCTTAGCCCCAGGGCTATCACGGCATGACAGAGTGAGATTTAAAACTAATTTGGTGCGTGAAATTTTAGTATCTCATTGAAACACACATTGTAAAGCCTTTCACCATGAGACTAAAAGGTTTTAAATTAATATTTGTGCCTTCATCTTTACTGCTATAATATTGCTTAGAAACTACAAAGATGAGTGCAATCAAAACAACTCCTACATTAGACAGATCCACAACTCACTTAAGGATTCTCTGGACATTTGTAAACTGAAAGAAAATTCACCTGAATAACACATTGGTCTTACAGGTTACAGATAGGAAATGTTGCTGGTAGCCCTGCAAGCTGATAATGCCACATACAATTAATAATCATTTTTAAGGTCAGGCTTGACAAACCCCTGGCTGGGATGATTTAGTTGGGAATTGGTCCTGCTTTGAGCAGGGGGTTGGACTAGATGACCTCCTGAGGTCCCTTCCAACCCTGATATTCTATGATTTTATGAATAATTAATACATTTTATTTCATATAGCATTTCTCATGCAATGCATCCCAAAACCTTATACATTTTTGTTAACTTCTCCAGGCCTCAGTCCCCTCATCCATAAAATGACCTGGCTTCTTAACAGTAGGGTGACCAGATAGCAAGTGTTAGACATCAGGACAAGGGGTGGGGAGTAATAGGTGCCAATGTAAGAAAAAGCTCCAAAAATCTGGACTGTCCCTATAAAATCGGGACATCTGGTCACCCTACTTAAAAGGGTTGTGGGGAGGCTGTTAGTTAATATGCCATGCTTTCCTTACAGTGGAAAGAAGGTGGGATGGTAACACATGAATCCCAAACCCCATCATTTAGAATTTGCACATATTAAAGGCAGATCTTTCTAGCAGATGGAGAGGCTGACACCACTGTGATAAATGCAGTATAGATGGATGGATAAAGACTTTGAGCCAGCAGGGAGAGGGAAGGCTGTATGGCTAACAGAGATGGCCAAAAAAATAATTTTGTCACTTGCAAAAAACGTTTAACAAAAATGGGGGAAAAAAACATTTTTCTTCTAATATTTTTTGGTTTCCATTGAAAAATCAAACTGCCAAAACTGATTTTTTTAATATTTGGTGTATTTATTTATTGCAACTGACAAACACTTTTGGGGGGGGGGGGTTGCTGAAAACTGAAAAATGTTTAGGGGTTCAGTTTTTCAAAGAAAACCAACATGGCTGTGATGGAAATGGGCATTTTTGGATCCAATGGAGATCCTGGGACGTTCACACGGAACTATGTGAATCTGGAGAATCCCCCCAGAAAAAGGCTATCTCCTTGGCTTCTCCCTTCCCTCCCCTTTGCCTGAGACAGCCGCACCCTACCCTCATCTCTGAGGCCACTGTCTGCACTAAGGTCATTTTCTATACATTGCTCACCTCTGTTAGCAACCCTGGGAACTCTAGTGTAGAGAGGTCACCAGGTACCACCAGGGTTTTTAACACTGTGTCAAGTACCCGTGATCAGGGCAGGTCTAATGGACACTGTTAAAAACAACAGCAGCCAGTGGCCCATCTACGCTAGGATTTCCAAAGTAGCTAACACCCGTAGAGCTGAGCTGGTGTTAGAAAAACGTGCAAACTGACCCTACAGTATACTCAGGGCCCGAGAAGAGCTGTAGGTACCGATGGAATGACCACTCCTTCACCAAAAGCAGTATCTCCTGGGAAAGCCACCCTGCACCGGAAAAGTAACCACACTTCACCCAGCAAATGCTCTCTGGTTCTCCACTCCAGCAGCCCCGCCTTTAGAGCCCGGGAGTCCCAAAGGAAGACGCGGGGTTTTCTACAGAGACTGGAGCACACAGGCAGCTCCCCCACTCTGTGGCTGGGGGGGGGGTCCTTTCTGGTTTTAGGGTGCGCCCTTCTGGCGCGATTTGAGATCCTCTGGCGGAAGATGCAAAGGGTTAATCATTGAACCGGGTTACTATTCAACCCGCCTGATGTGGGAGGGGAAATAACCGAACCGAGCCAAAGAAATTCACCAGCTCCAGGCCAAGGGGTGGGGCAGGGCAGGGCAGGAGAGAAGCCTCCGGCGCAGGCAGGAAGCGCGAGGCGGGGGGAGGCCCTGGCGGCATGGCCCTCGCGTTGTTGCTGCCGGGCCTTCCGTGGTGGAACGTTGCAACACCGCGCTCCCAGCCCCCTGCGGAGCATGGCCGGGCGAAGGGAGGCCGATCTCGGCTCGCTGCTGGCGCAGGCCCGGGTGGCGTATCGAGGGGCCTTCGCAGGGGCGGACCCTGAGCTCGCGGTGTCAGCCCCCGGCAGGGTGAACCTGATCGGAGAGCACACGGACTACAACCAGGGCTTCGTGCTGCCTATGGTAAGGGGGAGGGCAGAGGGGCTGGGCTTGGGGGGCCGCCGAAGCATTACTTGGGCTGTGGCCGTGCCGGCACCCCCGCCTTCCCCCACGACTCGGGTGCAGCAAACCCAGGCACTTCGATACGATCCCGTTCTTTCATAGAGGAGCGTGGGACGAAGTCCGCATTGTTGCGAGGGTCGGGAGCAGGATCCTCCGCGTGGGAATGCAAGTTGCTGTCTGTCTCCCTCCGTGTTTCTGCAGCTCCCTGGCTCGCGAGACGAACGCTTGTCCCTCGTGTTTGTTACCCGGGGCGTCACTGCACAGAGAGCCACAAAATGAACCGCCCCTTCCCCCAGAACTGCGGCGGGATAAAGAGCCCCCCTCCCGCCTGGATCTCAGCGCTCACACTCAGTCAGTCCCAGCAAAACAAATTCTTCCCGCTCTGCCACAGCCTTTCTTTAGATCAGCACGGTCCTGTACAAACAGTAGCTCGTTCACTCGGCTCTGGATGTTGGATTGTATTGGATTATATTGGAATTGGAAAAGTTTCAGAAAAGGGCAACAAAAATTATTAGGGGGCTGGTGTGTCGGCCATATGAGGAGCGTTTAATAAGACTGGGATTTTTCAGCTTTGAAAAGAGACAACTAAGGGGAGGATCTGATTGAGGTCTATAAAATCATGACTGGTGTGGAGAAAGTAAATCTCCACTGAAAAATCCACTGAATGCATCCGATGAAGTGAGCTGTAGCTCACGAAAGCTCATGCTCAAATAAATTTGTTAGTCTCTATGGTGTCACAAGTACTCCTTTTCTTTTTGTAAATCAGGAAGTGTTATTTATACTCCTCATAACACAGGAACTGAGGGGAGGGGGTCACCAAATGAAATTAATAGGCAGTCGGTTTAAAACAAACAAAAGGAAGTATTTGTTCACATAGTGCACAGTCAATCTGTGGAACTCCTTGCCAGAGGATGTTGTGAAGGCCAAGACTATAACAGGGTTAAAAAAAGAACTAGATAAATTCATGGAGGATAGGTCCATCAATGGCCATGGGCAGGGATGGTGTCCCTAGCCTCTGTTTGCCAGAAGCTAGGAATGGGCGACAGGGGATGGACCACTTGATGATTACCTGCTCTGTTCATTCCCTCTGGGGCACCTGGCATTGGCCAATGTCAGAAGACAGGACACTGGGCTAGATGGCCCTGGTCTGACCCAGTACGGCCATTCTTATGTTATCATAGAATCATAGAATATAAGGGTTGGAAGGGACCCCAGAAGGCCATCTAGTCCAACCCCCCGCTCAAAGCAGGACCAATTCCCAGTTATGCTCTTATGGATAAAAATCAGGCCTAAAGACAATAACAGTCCCCCATTTTAACAAACTGTTAAGCTTTCCCCCATCACTGTGTAATGCTTTTTGGCCTGAGCTGTGGCTGTCCAGTGGCAGCGCTGCCAGACATGCTGGGTGTGTTCGGAAGCACTTCTTAGCAGCCTCTTGGTCTGGGCTTGGATTAACTTCCCCAAACAAGAATCCTAGGTCATAGGATAACTCATTGGAGAAGGTAGGAACCATTCTCATCTTCCAGCCATTCCAGGAACCAAACAAGTGTCAGACAGCGGACTTAGAGCCCCACCGTGTGGGCACAGCGCTACGGAAAACAGCTTCAGGCCAAGATTTCCAACCGTGGATGACTCCTCAATCCTTTTTTCTGGCATCTCAATAAATGGCCTAATTTCCAAAGGTGCTGAGTGCCCTTCGACTTCCCGTGCTCAGCAGGGCTTTTGCAAATCATGCCACTTATTTAGGTGCTTATGGATTTGGGAGCCTGTCTTTTGATGATCTTCGGCTTGGCCTGTAATTACAACTCCATCTCCTTCAGGGCTGCTGTCTCACCACCGAGCACGACAGGTAACATGGCCCTGCGTAAACAAGGTTACAGATGGGTTGTACTGCCCTTCCCCTATTCCGAAGCGATGTCCTGAGGCAACAACTGGGCAGTTAAACTGCTTAATTCTCCTTCTTTTCTTTACTCACTCCATAGTTTCTGCCTCTCTAACTTTTAATTTGCAAACACCTTTTGATGCTCAGCAGAGTTTTCTGCCCCTTTTGACTGCCTGGGGCAAATCTTGACTCCAGTAACTTGGTCTCTGACTAGGACTTTGTATGGCAGTGGTAACATTGGGGAAACCCTAGGAGAAAAGGCCAGTGTGATGCCCTTGCTTTCCATGGAGCCTCGGCTGTGAGGATGGCATTTGTGATGTGATGACCTGTCCGCTAGCAGCTAGGCGGAAACTATTCTACTGGTTTCCTACAGGCCACCAAAGAGCTAGCACAGCACAGTAATGCCTTTGGGTCTCCTGCTCGAGGATGGGGAATCAGTGTGTGTTTTTTTAATTTATTCAAGGCTGCTTTTCATGTGAACAAATCGGCCCAGGGAATAAAATCCTGACCGGGAGGCAATCCTAAGAGCATCATCTCTGCACACGTGTATAGTTCTGCCGCTCTATATATAGGAAGGCTGGTGTCTCTCTGGGGGCAGCGTTAAGGTTGTTTGGGTATTTTAATTGCAAGACATGGCAGCAAGGTCGTCACCATCCTTGTGATAAGAGAAACAAAGTAGCGACCAGTTCATAGAGAGTGGGAAATTCCTGCTCCTCGGGGCTCCAGCCTGTTCCCTATGGCCAGTTTCCCAGTGGGAGTAGGATCCCAGCCTTAATACCAAGACCCTCAGGTATCCCTGCACCGTCAGTTGCGCTGGCTTTCTGGAAGCAGGACATGTTGCAGGTTTCCATCATTTCCTTTTGCACTGGGTGGGGTTCAGCCAACGTCTCTCTCCGCAGGCCCTGCAGCTGGGCACCGTGGTGGTTGGGAGCCCAAGGCAGGACGGAACAATATCCGTCATTACAACCGCAGAGGAGGCAGAGGAGCCCAAAAGGGTGCAGTTTCCAGCTCCAACAGAAAGAAACACCCTGAAGCCCGGGGAACCTCACTGGGCTAACTATGTGAAGGGTGTGATCCAGCATTACCGAGGTAAGGTCCAAACACACCTGGGCAGCGGGAGAGCTGTTTGGGTCAGCAATGTTCCTGCAGGCGCTCAGGATGCAGCGTGCTCTGGTTGGGAGGGTGGGTGTTACAATGCGACTGGGACAGAACTAGGAACAACTGTAGCCTCACTTCCAGCTGAACGTTAGTGAAACGCAGCTGATCCCTGCAGCTGCTGTTCCATTCATGTCTTGTCTGCGACTACAAGATGGTGCCTGAAACCCAGGTGCCATCTCTCTCCCACCACCAGGCAGCCTGCCTTCCTGCTCCCAGAAGTGACTGCTCCATGGCGGAACTGGCTGTGAGTAAGGGATATCTTCCTCCACTGCCCTTTCCTTTCCCTGAAGCTGCTGTCCCAGCACTGGGCTCCAACTATAGAGAGACCAAACAGCAGTGTGCCAAGCATGGTGTCAGGATACAGCTTGGTTGCCTGGGTTGCCTCTTGGGAGTGAGAGCAGAAGAGTTAGAGATGGACCCTGAATCAGCTCATTACAGCTGTAGTTCTCCGCTCCTCAGAGACGGCCTTCACCTGCCCTCTATCTGGTCAGACACAGCCTGGTTGCTACCGGCCTTTCTAAACTGGACATACTTTCCCCAGCCTCTCTCCAGTGGCAGCTGCCTCCCATGGGGTGTTGTGTTTTACTCCCGGGGGTATCACCCGTCCAAGTCCACTTCATTTTCTGTCTTGACTCTGGTTGGGCTCATTCTCCTTCTCCCCTTTGTTTTTTGTCTCCATTACAGCCGGTCCTCTCCCAGGCTTCAACGCAGTGATAGCCAGTAACGTTCCCCTGGGCGGTGGCCTGTCTAGTTCAGCCTCTCTGGAAGTGGCTACGTATACCTTTCTGCAGCAGCTCTGCCCAGGTAACACAGCAGCCAGTTCATCAGCTCCACAAGCCTGGTGCAAGAGAGAACCTCTCTTTTGGGATCCTCTGTGCTAAATCCAGGTGCTGGCCAAGAGACTCTATAGGAGATGCTGTGATTCTAGTGGAGGTGACGCTCCCCTTCACCTCCACTGAGAGCTGCATCACAGCTACTGAGCTGCTCTCCTTGCCCAGAGGTAGAGCCCATCCCTTCCAACAGGGCCCCTCCAGATCCCTGGCTAACTCTGCATGGGATTAATAGGAACTCTCTCTCTCTGTTGAGAATCAACCAGGAAGTTCTTTGGGTTGGCCAGGATGAGTGGAGAATGGTCCTTAGGGAGCAAGTGTGAGAAAATAGCCGCACTTCCACCCTTCCCCGCTAGTGTGTCAAATCAAATTCTGGCTGAAGGATGTGGTATCCAACATATGGTGACTGGATTGGTCCATGCAGCCTGGTACCCTGTCTGTGATTGTGGCCAGAACATGTGATGCCTGAGAAGACGACAAATGTGCCCCTCATCCTGGGGAAGAGTGCGCCTAGATTGTGCAGTGTTGCACATGGGTGGGGAAGATTCCTTGTGACCCCATCTGGTATATGATCAGTAACAGAACTAAGCACAGAATATGCTACATACACGGTTTATACCTCCCTTAAGCTCTGTTCTGAGGCCTTGCACAGGCTGTCTGCAGGTGGGTGAATTTCACCCAGGCTGCAATTCCCCTTCGCTTGCATAGCTGCAAACGTCATGAGCAGAGATGGGTTCAAGCCACAGAATTTGGATTTGGAGGCTGAACTGTTTTAGTTGGGAGTGATCTCTAGCTATAAATCCAGCCCTCTTTAAACAGGCGGCTGCAGTGCTGGCTCTGTAATGAAAGAAAGTGAAAATGAGCTTTAATTCCGCCCCCCGCATCTCACCCCCAGGTCCCTTGGGCAAGGTGGGAAATGGCACAAAGCAGGCACCATGCTAATCTATCTCTTTCTCATTTGGCACAGATGATGGGGACTTAGTAGCCAAGGCTCTGGCATGCCAGAAAGCTGAGCACACATTTGCTGGTATGCCCTGTGGGATCATGGACCAGTTCATATCTGTGATGGGCAAAGAGGGCCATGCATTGCTGATAGACTGCAGGTCAGGACATGGACTCATAGCTTACTATACCATCTAATGATGATACTCTGCATTTCTACAGCACCTTCCCTCCAAGGATCTCAAAGCGCTTCATGATCATCTGCCTACTATGCCTCATAACAGAGGCTTGGAGAGGTGCAAGGCCAGACACCCAGTTACATGAAGGCCCCTTTGTACCACTCTGGAAGTGTCAAGGGCTTTGGAAGTGAATTACATTTATATGCGGAGTGGCATAAAGGGTCCTCAACCTAGGTGAGAATTTGTCCTTGGCCACCCTGTGTGACCTTGAGCAGGCCAGCAGAGCTGGGATTACAGCCCGGGTCTGCCAATTCTCAGTCCTGTGTTCTGCTAGATGACACTGCCTCCCACAGAGCAGAATCGCTGCCTTGTCCTGGTTGCACAGTGTAACTCTTATGTATAGTATCTAGCTGGCTGGGCAAGGGCAAGCCTAGCCTGGGAATTCAGACAGCAAGGTGAGCTGCTGCCTACTGGAACTTGTAGCATCCCGTGACCTTCGGCCAGTGACAAAGGGTCGAAGTCCCCACTATCCAGCACTCCCCAGCTTTCGGGATCAAGCCATTCAGACACAAGCCACAGAGAGCTTGGGATAGGGCCACAAGATGCTCCATAGCTGTGGATGCAGGATAGCCTTCCACAGGGTTATTATGGGAATGCAATGACTTGAACAGTAAAACCCTGACAGTAATCAGGTCTGTAACTTCATGGTAAAAATCCTTACAGGATCATGGCCAGTAAAACCCACACTTGGAGGGCCAGGAACTCCAGAGTTACTATTGAACCTTTCCAATGCAGTAGTGCCTACTGACCATGACCAGGTTGGGCCCCCGTTGTGGTAGGTGCTGTACAAACCCCGAATAAATGACAGCCCCAGAGAGCTTAAGGTTAAACTGAAGAGCCCCCAAACACCTGGGGTAGCTTATGTAGAGGGTAAGCGCTGGGTAGGGAGGACTAGCTTTATCTGCGCATGCAGGGCCTAGTAAAATAGAGCCCTGACTTGGGCCTGTGGCTGATACTGCAATACGATTGCTGAGATGAGGAAAATCCAGCATCAAGGTGCACAAACCACCTTAACTCTGCCCCCTTAGAGATACCAGCCTCCCAGCTGTGTGGGTGGAGAGCAGCCGTAACACTGGCTCTGTTCCTAGGTGGCTCTGAGTCTCAGAGCGATGTCCGTGGCCTCGCTGTAACGCAGGCTCCTGAGGCGCACCAAGGTGGCTGCTCCAGGGCAGCTCCCAGCTCGTCAGGGTCCCGTCCCTGTGACCCTGCTGTGACCTCTGTTCCAGGTCGCTGGAGACTTTCCTCTTGCCTTTGACTGACCCCAGCTTGGTGGTTCTCATCACCAACTCCAACGTGCGGCACGCGCTGACGGGCAGCGAGTACCCCACACGCCGGCGCCAGTGCGAGGAGGCAGCGAAGGCTCTGGGCAAGGCCAGTCTGAGGGAGGCCTGTCTGGCCGACTTGGAGGGTGAGTGCAACGTCTTCCTTGGGTCACCAGAACAGTCTGCTGCAGCCTAAATCTTGTGAGACAGTGTGGGGAGCGAGTTGGGGACTGCGGGGGCGGGAGCTGGTGGGAGTGGGGCAGGGACGGTGTGGGGAGCGAGTTGGGGACTGCGGGGGCGGGAGCTGGTGGGAGTGGGGCAGGGACGGTGTGGGGAGCGAGCTTGGCGACTGCGGGGGCGGGAGCTGGTGGGAGTGGGGCAGGGATGGTGTGGGGAGCGAGCTGGGCGGCGCTGGGTGGGAGGCTGTGGGAGAGGGGCAGGGACGGTGTGGGGAGCGAGCTGGGCGGCGCTGGGTGGGAGGCTGTGGGAGAGGGGCAGGGACGGTGTGGGGAGCGAGCTGGGCGGCGCTGGGTGGGAGGCTGTGGGAGTGGGGCAGGGACGGTGTGGGGAGCGAGCTGGGCGGCGCTGGGTGGGAGGCTGTGGGAGTGGGGCAGGGACAGTGTGGGGAGCGAGCTGGGCGGCGCTGGGTGGGAGGCTGTGGGAGTGGGGCAGGGACGGTGTGGGGATCGAGCTGGACGGCGCTGGGTGGGAGGCTGTGGGAGAGGGGCAGGGACGGTGTGGGGAGCGCGCTGGGTGGGAGGCTGTGGGAAAGGGGCAGGGACGGTGTGGGGAGCGAGCTGGGCGGCGCTGGGTGGGAGGCTGTGGGAGAGGGGCAGGGACGGTGTGGGGAGCGAGCTGGGCAGCACTGGGTGAGAGGCTGTGGGAGAGGGGCAGGGACGGTGTGGGGAGCGCGCTGGGTGGGAGGCTGTGGGAAAGGGGCAGGGACGGTGTGGGGAGCGAGCTGGGTGGGAGGCTGTGGGAGAGGGGCAGGGACGGTGTGGGGAGCGAGCTGGGCAGCACTGGGTGAGAGGCTGTGGGAGAGGGGCAGGGACGGTGTGGGGAGTGAGCTTGGCACCTGAGGGGGACAGGAAGAGGGGTAGGGACTGCATATGGCGTGATCTTGGTGACTCTGCGGGGGCAGATAAATACGTGAACTCAAAAGGTGCAGGGCAGCATGGAGCTCCATTCCAGGTGGTCCCGTTTGGAGGCTCTAGGCCGTGGGTAGCGTCTCAGTCCAGCCTTGTGTGTCTCCAGCTGCCCGGGCCCTGCTGAGCGAGGAGGTGTACCGGCGCGCGAGGCACGTCATCGGAGAAATAGAGCGCACCTCCCGGGCGGCGCAGGCGCTGCAGGCCAGGGACTACAGGGCATTTGGGAGGCTGATGGTGGAGAGTCACAACTCCCTCCGGTACGGGCGTCGCCAGCCCCGCTGGGTAGGGACACTCCAGCTGGGGGTAGGATAGCTATAGCTCTCAGGGCCCAAGGAGGGGACACAAGGAGAGCAACGTGGACAGCTTAAACCATGAGATTTTTCACGCAGTGTCCTATCTAGTCTCTCCCACAGCTCAGCGTTGCGGAGGGGAACAGCCTGCACTAAGTGACCGACTTTAGGAATAATTGCAGAGAAGAGCCTGTTCTACAGCCTCTGCGTTGGTCTGTACCAGAGGACAAAGGCACAGCCTCTGTACAGGGGGAGGGACAGCTCAGTGGTTTGAGCATTGGCCTACTAAACCCAGGGTTGTGAGTTCAATCCTTGAGGGGGGCCATTTGGGATCTGGGGCAAAAATTGGGGATTGATCCTGCTTTGAGCAGGGGGTTGGACTAGATGACCTCCTGAGGTCCCTTCCAACCCTGATAGTCTATGATTCAGAAGGAGGCCTCTGCCCCTGCTCCTCAAGCATGCCCATGGCCAATTACCCAATACTCCTACCACTGAAGGGAATGTGCCAGGCTAACCCCAGCAGCTGGGCCTGCCGGGGCCCGCAGTTTGAGAGACCCTTGCCCTCTCCATTTTGGCTAGCAAATGCATGTGTTTCTAGGACTGGCCCTGAAATTCGACCTCAGGAGGAATCAAATGAATCTTCCATCTCCCACTGCAGCCAGGTGCTATAGGGTTGGGTGTTCAGAATGCGTTTACAGGGACGCGGCACTGGCAGGCTGCCCAGACTCTGGTTTGTGTTTCCCAGGGATGATTATGAGGTCAGCTGCCCTGAGCTGGATGAGCTGGTCGCTGCAGCGCTGGATGTCAGTGGGGTTTATGGCAGCAGGATGACGGGCGGAGGCTTTGGAGGCTGCACGGTCACGCTGCTGGAGGCTGAAGCAGCAGAGGAAGCTTTGCAGCACATCAAGGTACGTAGCCCTTCTAACGCCATAGCTCTGGCCTTCAGCCTGGCCTTAGGGCTGGCAGTGCAGAGCCCGGCTCCACCAGCTTGAGTGGAGAATTCTGACCAGGCAAGGTCCGAGGCAGAGGAGGATCAGGCCCAAGGAAGATGGCTGAAAAGGCTGCTCAGCCTCCGTTCTGGCTTTCCCCTGCATAGATAAGGCTGGGATAGTGAGACAGACGAGTTTCTCCAGAGAATATCTCAGAGTGAATAAGCAAAGTGACACGTAGCTGGAGACCTTGCTTGGGGGACTTGGATTGGTAATGAGGCTATAGGACCTTTGGCTCGCTAGGGCTCTAGTCTCAATGTGACCATTTTACTAGTCCTATCAGATGGCTCTACTGAAGTGTGTATGAAATGAGTTGTGGTTGGGGGCCAATAATGCTCAGTCCAGCAGTAGCTTCCCTGAATGCGTTCTGATCGCATGGCCCATTGCATTAGCATGCCAACTCTGTTGCACTCTTCAGTGCTTGCTTCTCCTTTTGTCTCCTAGGAGAAGTACAACGGCACAGCTACTTTCTATTTCACTACGCCTTCAGATGGGGCAAAGGCACAGCCTCTGTACGGAGTGACTTCCCTTTCTACATAGGGCGCTCTGATCTCTGGGTCCTCAATGGTGTCAGAGGAAAATTTCTGGGCCAGCTGCCTTCCCCCTTCCTCCTGCAGGAGATCAAACGTGGCTCTGTTTCTAACTTCACAACGGAACACAGGGAAATGTACAAATCTGTGTCACTCAAGTAATAAAACTAATTTTGCACAACAGTTGTGCCTCTTGACTTAACCATCTCAGTCTAAACCACTGGAGACCATATTCTGATCTCAGTTACACAAACGTAAGTGTGACTTACAGTCACACTGTGGTTAACTCTGTGAACAGACCAGAGACTGATCCAGATTACTGCAGTGGTATGGGCAACATGTAGTGGCAATGTAGTAATGACTTGCATGAAGCTCAGTAATTACTGAAGGGAAGTGTAAGGGACTAGGATGGCAGAGGTCCATGTGCCAAATAGCTTGAGAGAAGGAGTCCATGATATGCTGGGAGCATGGTACATCCTAGCCACCATAACTCATCCCTTGCCAGCTTGTGCAACGATCAATCTTTATCTCTGAATTTTTGAAATAAATGGGGCAACCAGACTAGAGAGAAACTTGTTTATTAAGTGCAATATAAAGCCATGTGGTCCAGAACACCTGTAGACAGACTCTTCCTTGGTACACACCAGAAGTATTCATATGCCGACAATTGTCCTTATCTGATGAAAGCTACAAAAAAGTGGTTATGTTCTATTGTGGCTCTTCTGTACAAACCTTTTTAAAAGGGCAGGTTGTTAGAATTCGGATCAGCTAACAGGCTGCATTCTGCCCCAGATAACTTAATTAACTCTTTGGTTACAATTATTATGTGAACTCTCTTGAGGCAGTGAATCAGTGTGTTATAACTACAGTACAAAGCACTGTGATGCACAGCAAAGGGAGGCTACAGTGCAACATGGCGTGGCTTTGGTGAAATGCCACTTTAGCTGAAAATACTTCCTTCCATGCCAGGAACTGAAATATAAGGCAACTGCCAACTGGACATTCATTCAGTAACTAAATTATTTCTAATGGGCTATATAAAATCACATTTGGTTCATTTCTAACAGACCGGGCTTCTTGTATTTAGATCAAAAACTAAACTAGCCCCAGGTCCCACCTAAGTTTAGGACAGGATGGTCATGCACAATGGGGACAATGTGTGTATCTCTCTCTCACCCCCACACACACAGGTCTGGCTCACAGGGAAATCAGTGGCAAAATTCCCATTGAAGCAGGTGCAAGACTGAGCCCTTGAAATGGTCTGTACTGTGAGCTCTCCCTGGTTCTCAAGGAAAGGCAGAGAAGTTCCATAGTCTGCTTAAATAAAACAAACGACACCTCCAGGGAATAAGGGCAGCTATTGTTTTTGTTCCACGGCCTTTGAAAACTGGCTTTACCCATGAAAGGTGGGAGCTGCCATTCTTACTAGAAACAGTTTCCCAAATTCTCATGAGCAGCTCCCATGCTATTTGGCTGAGGGTGAAGTTGAACCAGTCCACGTTCAGACCCCTTCAGAGCCAAATGTAAAACAAGGAGCAATTCAAGAGCATTTCTCGTTGGTAGATTTCAAAGTTGAGCCCTAGCATCCCCCTCTGACAGATATGCCACAAGGTACCAGCATGTTAAGTGTCTTGCCAAAGCTCAGGGAATGAGTCAGGGGTTTTGCCTCCCAATCCACAGCTCTAGCTTTTGGCCCATGCTGCCTCAGCTCTTGTTCAGCCAGCTTATGCCGTGTAGTGGCCTGGAGGGGCTTAGGGAGAGATTTTCAAAGGTGTAAAGAGGAGGTAGGTGTCCAATTCCCACTGACTTCCCATGGGAGTTGGGTACTTAACTGCCCTCTGGGCCTTTGCAAATCTTCCCTTAAGGATTTAGGTTAATAACCATCTTAAACATTGGCATAGCTGGTGTTGGATGTGACACTACGGAACTGAGCGCACAGGCCCTGTGGTTAGTATGATCCATTATGATCAGAAACGCTTGCTTCAGAGACACCCATCGGGGAGAGGGTTGGGCAGTGAAACGTACAAACGAGTCACCCCACTGGCAGAACTTAGTGCTTCACTGCAGTGTTTGCAGAGGCGTGTGGGACAGAAAGGAGAAGCTCGTCCCAGCATTGCCACGAATGCCCTAGGGAAAGTGAACATTCAGAGGTTCTATCACCACTGGGTTGGGAAGTAGCAGGGAGGGAACTCAGCAAAGGGTATGGCAAGCTGCTAGGATACCTCATCGACCCAGGAGCTAGACACACAGCAATAACGCCAATAAAGGATCACTGGATAATGGCCAGACACACGACAGCCCCTCAGCCGTGGGTAGCAGGACCGTGGGAGCTACTAGGCTCACGCAGCCGCAGCCTTGCCACAAGCGGTAACTAGGCATGGCAGGGTTCCAGCACAGCTCTCTACCACGATGTGGTCTGGGAATGGCTGATGCTGGGGAAAGAACGATGTGGCTGAGGTTTCGGTTCATCCACTCTAAAGGAGAGAGACTGTCCGCCCCCACTTCTCTCTCTGCCATCATCTTGTATTTACTGGATGACAGTAGAATGTAATACTCTGCATTGGGCAGGGGATCAAATGCCTTTACAAGTCACGCAACGGTATCTGCCTAAGCTCCAGTGTGGGAAAAGTGATACCAATAAGGATTTTAGGTCTTAGGTTTATGACCAACTTGGTCTTTCAAGAAAACAAAAATATTACCCATTTATAGTGCATGTCTTCCGATCCTATGCCACTGAACTAGCAATTCTGATTCTTCCCTTGTAGTCCTCCAGGCTTTACTTGGCCTTTGCCCAAGAGTACGCTGTAGCTACAGTAAGACTGGACTGTTGTGTGCTTTGCAGTACACAAGCTCCTTGATCTGGGATGCTGTAGGGGGTTGGGTTGCTGTACTGCAGAAATCAACCGTGGAGGATTTAAGTACTGATCTAAAGCCCATTGAAGTCACTGGGCGTTTTCCCACTGGCTTTGAATCAGGTTCCTTAACCAGTCTCTGCTATTATAAATAGAAAAGGAGGACTTGTGGCACCTTAGAGACTAACCAATTTATTTGAGCATAAGCTTTCGTGAGCTACAGCTCACTTCATCGGATGCATCCTAAGGTGCCACAAGTACTCCCTCTCTTTTTGCGAATACAGACTAACACGGCTGTTACTCTGAAACCTGCTATTATAAATGTTTCCCAAAAGCTGTGTGTCCTTAATGCTCATTGTAGATCCTAGGTTTCTTTATAAAATAATAAAATATATTTATATATACGAGGAAAACTGTACAAGAGTTAAGCAAAATTGCATGAGAGCATTGTGGGTAATGCTATGCAAATTAAGGCTATCATTTGTTACTGCAGTACCACACATTAGCAGCAGGGGGCTTTACACAAACAGGTGCGGTAGGAATGCAGTGATTACCCTGACCATCTACATTGCAACACGGGCTTATAAACAATAGAACTGTGCACTTTTGCAGACCACGGTGGAGTTGCCTCCCACTGGTGAAATGAACAGGGGGAGAACAGGGCTGAGCCAGCAGGTTGGGAAAATAAAAATGACCCTGCATAACAGGTCGCGCACAAGGCAGAGGGGGAGAGGGACATTTAAATACAAACGAAAGCCCAGTGCAGTCAAACTCCCAGCAGGAGGCCAGCGGTGTGAGAGTGGGTAGGCAGCACATACACACACAGTCAGCAGGTAAGGATTATACTACACGGGACTCCACAAACGGCTGGCCAATGACCCTGCACTGAGAAGCCTCTGCGACAGATCACTCAGTGGAGATCCTCGGCCGGACAGCCCAGAAATGGAGAGCTCCAAATGCCAATCACACACTTGCCACCCCATCCGCTGACTTGCCGCCTCCACAGCGGTGGGCTTCCAAGGAGTGTCAAGTGCCACTGCAGTTCTATGCCCAGGTGAGATTGGGTGGGCACGGCGGTCCAGAGCCTGGCAGCTGACCAGAGCATGAGCCTGCTCTGCAGTCTGAACACGCACACCCCTTTGGCAGTCTCTCCCCGGCTCAGGCTTCGAAGAACTCTCTCTCCATCTGTTTGGTGAGTGTTCCGCTGGACATCATGGTCCTGCTGACAAACTCTTTGGTGACCTGCTTGGTGAGGGTGCCACTGCTCTCCACCCGCTGGGTGGTCATCAACATGCCATCTGCAACAAGAGGAGCAGGTCAGCGGTGGGCATGACGGCCTACGTGAGGTGCTGCCCTGGCTCTATCCCGGATGGACCGTCAGACCTGCACGCAGGTATCTGCAGGAGGAGCAGTAGCTTTTGGGCCCTAGCCGGTGCGTTGGGATCAAAAGGTTCAGAATTCTCTGCCGGACCCCACACGAAGGCCATCAGCCACCGCGGGACCTGGGCTGCGTTTGGAAATGCAACCATGGCGCATTTCAGACTGGCATTCACCCAGTACTAGGGCAGGCAGTGCTGCAGCAAGGCCAGAGTGGTGGTGGTTCAGTTCCCATTGACAGCAATTTATTGGGTCTCCAAATCATCCCCCCTTGGCACCACAGGGGTGAAGGGATGGGGATATTTAACATGATTTTTTAAATTGTTCATTCTTCCTCTCACTTTCTCCTTTCGCCCACCCTGCTGAAAGCCTACAGTGTTGAACAGCCTTGAGGAGCCCTCCAATAGCCCCTCCCTGGATGTCTGCAGAGCTAGGACCCTGAGATCTATGGGCAGTCAGGATTGTGCTGTAACTTTTCACTACACCAGGCACCTTCCTTTACACTGGGCAACACCAATGACTGTGACTCCATACAACAATCTGCCCCATCCCCAGTGCCTGAAGCATTCCAGACAGGAAGCCCTTACCCGTGTAGTAGGGCTCCAGAGAGGAGTGGCTGATGGTGGTGTTGGTGTTATATTCCACGGGGAGGTTGTACACTTCCTCTCTCATGTATTGCTGCCCTCCGAACTGTGAGAAAGCTCCTAGAGAGAAAAGGAGAAAAGCCAGTTCGGGGAATGTCACAGGAGCTGTACAATCACATGGAGCCCCTAGCTACCCATCACTGGCGGAGAGGTTATGTCATAACTGTTCCAGTAGGAGCCCTTAAAGAAAGAAATCAAGAATGCTCATGAGAGATTGGGAGACTGAAGGACCTCGTGAGATGGCTGCTGGGTCTTGGGGATGCACAGTCATCAAAAGAAGAAGGTTGGCAATAAAGTAACAGTAATAAGTTCTCAGACTCCTTTCTCACCCAAGGATCTTAAAGCCCCCTATAAATATTACATTAAACCTTGCTGCCCCTGGGAGATACATATTATCCTCATTCTACAGATAGCGAAACTGTGGCACAGAAATTGTTTCACCAGCAGAGGCGGAAAGAGAACCCTGGAGTCCTGACCCAGTTTCCGGCTCTCCCCATGACTGCCATCTCCCACAGGTTCTGTTTTGTTCCCCCGCGTATACACAAGAAATGTGGTACCTCCATCTTGAGACTCAATGGTGATGATGCCCTCTCTCTCTGGCCCAAACCCTTGCGTGGTCTTGGCTTGCACTTTGAACTTGTAGGGGATGTTCTCGCTCAGGTAGGGCACTGTCAAGGAGGTTTCTGGGTTGTCCCCCTCCACATAGATATTCCTGGGTTCCCCTAATCCAAATAGAAACACAGTATGATGAAATAGAATACAATGGCTCCTTAAAGCCCACCACCATTCCCACCAAACTGCTACCCTCCTGTAGTTTCCACCAACCTCTTCCCTGCCCCACTTTATTCTTGTCTCAGCCCTCATCCCGCCCCTTATGACATCCCTGGCTCTCTGTCGAAAGATCCCCATTTCAGTACAGGGCTGGGTCTCAGTCCCAGCCCTCCCCACTAAGGCTGCTCAGGGACTGAACAGAGCGGGAGGCTCTGTTCCTGGAGCAGGTTTGCAGGTGTGACATGCTACGCTTTAGCCCCAGCAAAGGGATAGTTTGTCACTTCTCCCATGGCTTGTTTCCAGCCCAGCCTGAGCGAGAACATACCTCCTCCGTGCAGCATCTCGCAGGTGACCATGTAGCCCAGAATGGCCCCATTGGGCTTGCGGGGTCTCTCCCAGCTGAGCTGAAGTGACTCCGGGCTCAGGGCAGTGAACACCAGGGGTCCCGGCGCACTGGGGGTGCTCAGTGTAAACGGTGAACCTGCAGGAGCAACAGCGAGAGGTCAGTGCTGGAGAGGGGGAGAGAAGCAGCAGCCTGGGTCTATGCAGGTCACTGCTGTAATGGGCTGGGAGTCTCAGCTGTTTGCATAGTGAACTGAAGCTGGTGCATTGGGGAGCAGCATTCAAGGAGAGTGGGGGGTGTCCTTTTTAAAGGGGGAGTGAAGGAGCTACAACTGGGAGCTTACAGAGCCTAAACTTCAACATGGGGGTGCTGCCTCCATGCCCCTGACCCCCAGCGCACGCTGAGGCCTGCATCTATACCCCCCCAGGCAGTGGAGCAGTGTGTGAACCCTCTGCACTAGGGGCCCCGCGGCTCATTGCCCAGCCACAGGGAGACGGGAGGGGAGTGAAGCCAGGGCCGTGCCCTCTCACCTGGTACAGGACTCAGCGGGCTCTGCGGATCCACCTGGGACTCAATGGTGATGACGCCCTCTCTCTCAGGGCCCCAACCCTCCTCGCTTTGGGCCTTCACCTTGAATATGTAGGAGTGGTTTGGCAGCAGGTTGTCCACCACCACCGAGTTGTGAGTGGGGTTCGGGATGCTCAGTCTGTGCACTTCTCCTGGAGGGGGGGGAGGAAGGAGAGAGACAGGTGCCACCTTACAGTCACAACGGCAGGGCTGCAGCCGCAGTAGAGAGCACGGGGGGGTTGTCACTCTAGAGCAGAGCAACCGTCCGTCAAGCCTATTCTCTTACCTCTGGCAGCGGCCTGTACATGAAGTGGACATGTCCTTACAGTGCAGGTGGCCAGCTACAGCAGGGCTGTGTTTGTGTTCATGGGGGAATCCTTCCGAACCCCCAGTAGCCTGACCCATGTGATAGGACCCCTCTGCCTTTAGAGAAGTCCTGCGAGCTTGGGTACTCTGCCCTCATTGAGCGCAGGGTTATCTGGCTCCTTTCCAGACCCAGCTGCAGCACTGAACTCAATGCGACAGGCTAGGGAGGGGTGAGGGTGCGCTGGGGAAGCGTTGGGATGGTAGCTAGTTAGCCCATAGTGGCCACTCTACGTCTGTGTTTGCCATTGCGTTTCTCTGGCATCTGCCTCAGGGTCCAGAGGCGACTGGCTCTAAACACTGACTAGAATTAGTAATAGGGAACAAGGAGGCTGAATGAATCAGACTTGGGCCCCTCCTCCATCACCTTCCACCTGGATAGCTCACTGCACTTCACAGATGTCAGCGAACAAGTCCTCAACACCAGGAGGCGGGGGGAGAGGGAGGGACAAGGGTTTGAGCTAGTCCAGACTGGGGGAAATGAGGCGCCAGGAGGATAAATGATTTGCCCAAGTCACCCAAGAAGTCTGTGGCAGAGCTGGGACTAGACCCCCCTAAAATCCTGGCTCTGCTCAAATCAGTGGCAAAACTCCCATTGGCTTCAGTGGACCCTGGGTTCCGCTCTAGATCTCCCAGCCCCATGCTGTACCATGAAGACTCGTTCCACGCCCAGGACCGAGCTGTCAGCTGAACAGGGCTCACTGACCTCCACTGAGGAGCTGGTACTGCACGCTGTATCCTTGCACCGCTTTCTCACACTGCGGCTCCTGCCAGCTGACTTTCAGGGAGGTGGGCCCCAGCGCAGAGAACACCAGGCGGGTGGGAGTGTCGGGGACGCCCAGGGCCATCCTGGAATCTGATGCAAAGAGGGAAAGTCACAACCTTGGGTTCAAAGGCGAGAGGCAGAGGGGAAAAGAAGCAGACGCAGCCCAGTGTGTGATGGTCCTTACAGTCCAGGGAGAATGCGGCAAAACGTCCTCTGCAACCACGGGCCGGATCTGCCGAGAACCTACCCTGAGGGGCTTTGGGGGCTGAGCTGAGCGGCCAGGATGGGGTCTAGCCGTGTACGAATGGGTTCTGACGATGGCGTCCTGCAATCTCTGGGCTTAGAGAAGCAACGCCCTGACTCCAGCCAGGGAAGCAAAGGGATTGCTGAGAACATCTAGACATTTTCTCTGGCAGCCCCTTAGCTCCCCAGCAGGCTTGGGGCCAGGCTTGGCCAAACTCACTCCCCCTGAAGCACTATGTCCAGGCAGCTGGGTGCTTCGAGGACATCTTGGGAGTGAGTGTGATTCCTGGCCTTCTGGGGGAAGAGGGAATGCACTCTAGGGTGTGTGCTTTGCCCTGACAGGCCTGTGCAGGGAGAGGGGGAAGGGGAGTCAGAGCAGCCATGTAACAGCCCTGAGCCTTGCTGCATGCGCGTTGGGGATGGGGTGGGGGTGGGATCACCCAGTGGAGAGAAGGGCACAGAGGTGCTGCAAAGGACGAGCCATCCCTACCCATTCGCACATCCACACTGGTAACCCACAGGCCACTCCTCTACCTTCCACACACTCACCTACCTAGCTGCTCATTCCCCTGCCAGCTTCTCTCTGACCTACCGCTCTCCATGCCGGCAGCCACTCATCAAGGGTGACACTTCAAGGGGGAGACTATCAACGGGAGTTAAGCACCCAACTCCCATGGGCTTTCAGTGGGGCTCGGGTGCCTAACTGCCCGTTATGCCTTTGCAATCCTCCCCCATCATCTTCAAAGCACTTCGCAGTCTCGTGTCCCCGTAAGTGATTCAAGCTGCTAGGGAGCTGAGTATTGCTATCCCTGGTCTACAGATGGGGAAACTGAGGCAAAGAGGTTCATGTGAGTCAAAGGGGGAGTAGAGATTAGACCCTGGGAGTTCCTGGCTCCCAGCCCAATGCTCAGGTCATTAGGCCACCCTGCTCTCTCAACAAACAGCACGGCCAGAACCAAAGGGTGGGAAGAATTAAGGGGTATCCCTTAACCACTGCCTTCATGGCAGAAAATGGATGCAATGATGAGCAGATTCTCCAGCACCTCAGTGCCAGGCGCTCCATGACTCAGCTGCCTAGCGTGTCTCAGAGGGACGTTTTGCATTGGGCACACATTCTCCCCCAAGGCCTGTGGAGAGACACAGAAAACAATTGGCTTGTTAGGAGCACAGAGGACAGGATGCTGACGGCGAGTCGATGAGGTGGTTAGAGCATGGGGTGGGTTAATCAGCTCACATGGCTTTAACGAGGTCAGTGAACCCTGCAAATAGAAAGGTGGTGTGGTGGAGGCGCAGCCAGGGTCAGGGGCATGGATCAGCGCACACACAAAGCCGATGGAGGACAGGAGCAGGCAGCTCACGGGTGGATGGGCTGGTTATGGGATGCATGACTGTGGGAAGACACCCACGAAGACACTGGACAAGGCTTTGCTGTGGGCTGTACCTATATACTTGGCAATCCCAGTGGGCCCATCAGTCATGATTATAGAATCCCGAAAGCCATTGCTGGCGTAGGAACCCTTCACCTTTGCCCTGCTGCTGACACCTACGTCCTGGGGCAGCAGGGCCATCCTGCCAGCATCTTCACGTAGGGAAGGGAGAATCCTCCCTGGCTGGTCTACAGGATAGTGGGAAACAGACAGAGAGAGAGAGAACACTGAAGGCATCTGAAGCCAGAGCAGCCCATGTGCTGGTGCCCCAGTACAGAGAGGGCTGCTTTAAGGAAGAGCATGAAAAGGGCTTCTCCAGCCCCGTCCCCACTGCCAGACCGACTCTCAGACAATTTGAGCTGGAAAGTAACCATGGAGATAGAGTAAGAGGCACGGAAGCGGCACCCCCTTTTCCCAGAGAGCCCTGGGGGGCCCCATGGAGGCAGCCTCCCCTTTCCCAGGGATCTTGAGGGGGCCCATGGGTCAGCCCCCCCCTTTCTAAGGGTGCCCTTGGGGGGGTGCATAGAGGCAGCCCTCTGTGTGGAGAGGGGGAGCTCTGGGAGGTAGAGGTACAGGAAGCCCCCTGGCTGGTGTGACCCAAGATCGCTCTAAGGGGTAGAGGGTAGGAAGACAGGTCCCTGCTATGGTGGAGCAGAGGGGAGGGCCCCCAATCCCCCCCGTCCCCTCCCCCGACACTCACCATATCCTGAGGTCATTGTGCTGTAATCTCTGGTCAGAGATGAGCTGCCCATCAGCCTCCTCTCCTGGTGTACGTGTGAGGTCAGCTGGTTGTAGTTGGCATTCAAGGTCCTGTTCAGGGTGCCCCCAGTGCCGGGGAAGGTGAAATCCATCCGGCCATTCAGCAGATGCTCTGGGAAAGATTGAATTCAGTCAGTCTCAACAGCTGCAGTCTAGGCATCAGGACCAGCCCATGGCTCCATGCCTCCTGCATTGGCTTCGTCCTGTTCTCCAGGTGTTTGAGAACATAACTCTGGCTCTTCGGACAAGTGACAACCGCACAGCCAGCAGCAGGGGAAACAAACAGGAACCTGCACCCCCTGCACAATACCCGACCAACCCGCAGTGCCCAAGGTAACTCCAGAGCTCAGCTTGTCAGGGGGCTGCTAAGGTCCAACCTCACGTGTCCTAACGGTCAGATCTCTTGACCCCAGCACGTGTTTATATTTTGTCTTAATGAAAGAAGAAGAAATGCCAACTTAAGGAGGCGGCTCCCACAGATTTCACATTGGAGCCCATCTCTGCCGGACCTGAAAAGCAAACCCTGCCGTTAACGGTCTTTATGAACCCGCTCTTAAGTGACCACCCAAATGGGCAGCAGAAATCTCCTAGAGGCTGCTCTCTGAATAACAGTCCTGCAGGTTTGCACTGGAAACCTGGGGGTGGGGGAGTTTACTTCAGAGCAGTTACTTAAGATGAGGCGTGGCTGTTCTTACAGGCTTCACACGGTTTTGATCTGCTCCTTCCCTAAGGGTCCGAGCCTATTGCAGAAGCAAGCTCCTAGCAGGTTCCCAGTCCATGCCCGAGGTGGGCGTTACCTTGGCACTCTCCTGAGCAGACAGACCATGACAACACTTTGCAAGCAAACTCTACTACATGTGACCAGTGCCTCATGCCAACACCAATGTGGGTACAGAGGGGATGTTAGGGGGCAGGGCTCAGTTCCATGCTCTTGGCTCGGAGAAGGACGAGACACGACATTCACTGCAGAAGAAGCCGGCCTTCACCTGGTTGGGGCCGGGGCGTCCCGCTCCTCATCAGGCTGCCGCTGGCTGTGTCGCTGTCCAACGGCTCAGAGTGGGGGCCATCCTCGTGGAGGAGGCCCTCGGTGTCGGAGGAGAAGCAGCTGCTGCTAGAGAGGCGGGGGATCATTTCAGCTGGGAGCCTCCAGGTGATGCGGCGAAGGTCCAAGTCCTCCCCCAGCAGCTGCACATATTTCCACCTGGAGCCTTTTGGAACAATTTAAGTACTCACATTGGCACGGCCTACAGGGGCAAAGCGGGGAACCTGCCACCATTGGGCCACCTGCAGCACACTGGGGTCAGCCTCCAGGAGCAGCTGCATCTGCCTCCTGTGACAAACCGCTGGTGGGCTACTGCTGTGTAGAGATCACAGGACAGCGCTGGAGAATGGAGGGAACAGGACACTGGGGGTTCAACCAGCCCTGGGGAGACCAGAGCTCCATCCCCATTTCCGTCAGGATTGAGAACAGGGTTGGCGATCCCACTGCACGCCTGTCCCCATCACAGGCACTGCTGGGTAGAACTGTCCTCCCGTGCTCAGGAGCGGCCTCCTCACTCCATGAAGCTCACAGGTGTACACAACGCTGGCCACCGTGGGGCTGTCCTAACACGTACGCTCTACTCTCTGCAAGCATGCATCGATTCCCAAAGCAGAGAGAAACCAAGAGAGAGTACAGGGCAGGGGACGCCTCATTTCAGCCACTGTCGAACCTGCTCCAGACTAGGTCTCCTGCAAGGTTGCCCCAGCTCCACATTACAGGTCGCTTTCATTCTTCCCATTTGAAATAGCTATTCCAAGCTGAGCTTCTGCCATGTTCACTTTAGCAGCCCTGACATAGCCAGTGGGACACCCCCCAGAGCACGATGGGAGAGAACCAGATACCATGGGCCAGTAGGGTTCTTCTTGGTCTTAAGCTGCTATGAGCTGAAATGTCTCTGCTCCATCCCCCAGTAAGGTCCCTCTCATTGGCCTAACGGCTGAACTAAGAAACATCCCCAGGAGCTAGGAGGTCAGGACTGTGTGCTGTACCCTAATCTCATGGCAACGGGCAGAGGACCAACCTCTGGATGCAAAGTTCCTACCCAATCATGCCCGGTGGAGGCTGAGCCTCCATTGCTCTCCAGAGCAGCAGCACAGAAACAAGGTGACAGCTCAGCCTCTGCATGGTCCTCCCAGAGCTGGGATGTCTCTCTGCCTTCGCAGCAGAATGAGGAACAAAACGATCTGTGCTGATACTGTGGCTTGTAAATCACTCCCTCGTTTGGAAGGGAGATTCTCTGCTGGTTTGCTTTCTCGAGTCCCCTTCTCCGGGGAGGCTCGGTGTTCAAAGCTGTCAAGAGAAACCAATAAACCGCTCTTTGCAAAACACGGTGCACGTACCGGAGTCGTCGGAGACGCTGGGGTGCTTGCTGCCGGACGGGGAGCGCATCACGTCCGCGCTGTACATCAAGTAGCTGTCGTAGTCTTCACCGCCCTCGGCATCAATGATTGGGATGTCGGGGATGATGGGAACTGCGAGGGGCAGCAGAGGGCGCCGTTAAACACGTCCCTCCCATGCCAGAGGGGAACCACCCACCCAGATGCCACGGGGACAGGCATGTTAGTGTGGACACGATGAGTTAAAACAGGGAGAGGGAGGGAGAGAGCGTTGTCAAGCCCCACTCCCCACACGCTCAGGCCAGTAGAAGCACTCACTGGACATTGGGCGTCTGGGCTGTGTGGCGAGGTTGATTGTAGCTTCTCGCTCAGGCCCCCAGCCGGCTCCATTCTTGGCCTTCACCGTGTAGCGGTACGGCTGTGACTCCCGCAGGTTTTCAATCAGAACCATGCGCTTCTTCGGCTCCTCAACCAGAACTTTCTTCATGGGCCCAAAGGGAACTGCAAGGAAGCACACACCCAGCCAGCAAGGTCATCTCTCTCCCTCTGTCATACACACACTATTCTCTTCAATACAACGGCAGGAGAGGGGAGAGAAGAAATGGACTAGCCGGCTTTGCTCCACCATTTGAAAGGGAAAACAGCAAAAGACACACAAAGCCCAGCGACACCCCCCAACCCCGGCCTCTGCACACACGCACCCACTCTTGTATTTGTGGTCACTGCAGCTGCAGTGTCTGCACTGTGCATGCAGCTCAGCCACACGGCCAGCGGCCTAGCTGCGTGCAGTCACAGCTCTTCTCCCCTCCATCTTCCGAGTTGTCGTGCTGACCATCCTTGCCTCCAACACCCCCTCGTCTCCCACTGACGCTGCTCCCAACACATCCAGAGGGGGCGCTACAGACTGACGGGAGAGTCTCACTCGGCCTGGGGAGCGAAGGACCCACCAGATCCTGAGTTCCATCCAGCTCACACAGGAGCACATTGAGCTATCGCTGAGTCATCAGCCCCCCATGGCCTCTAAGACTGTCAGCAGTGCTGGGGTGCAGGCATCGAGCAGAGCTAGAGCCCCTCCTCTTAGGAGGAGTCTCGCTGTTTCCTAAGAGCAATACAAACAGCGCGGGTTTCACCTGCCATTGCATTCTAAGAAAAGACTAGAGATGGGCCAGAAGCAAACCCTCTGATCCAAACTCCCCCAAACAGGGTTGAACTTCATAGCTGGCCTGTATCAATGGGTCAAACCAACAGAGCCCTTCACAATTGTGGCTGTTCATCTGAACCTTGTGGCTTGGGCCCCATGTCTAGGAATGGCAGCGGGAGACCTCGCAACCCTGCTTCACAGGGCTCACTTCTACTTTCATCACTGTGCTTTGCTCCCAGACGGTGTCTGCATTGCACCACTACCTCCGTCCTCCTCTCAACAGTCCCAGACTGCACCCCCCAGATCCTGTCTGGCGAGCTCCATGGAGCCCCCCACGGCCAAAGTCTCAATGAGACTTGGGCTGCAGGTGCCAGGACAGAGGCGGGTGATGTTACCGGTCGTGCAGTCAGCCATCCTGAGTGTCTGTTTCTCGGGGTGTAACTTCACTTCTGGGAAGCTCCCAAAGCGAACAGGGAAATGGGCCTCCAGCAGGGGGTTTCCCAGGGCATCATTCCTAAACTGTTCAAGGTGAGAAGCGTCCCCAATGCCCACTGAAGTCAGAGGAGGTCAACAGGAGCTGAGGGTGCTCAGGACCTCACAGTCCTCACAGACCTCACAGTCTTAATACTGAACTTCTGTCCTGGGCTCTGGCATCCCACCACCACCCACCTCCCCAACAGCCTCTGCTCTCTCACTCATCGTAACGTGGGCTGCTCCCAACCCCAGTTCATGGCTCCAGGGTGGGAGCAGCGAATGACTGGGGACAGCTGCTGGCTGTTTCTGCCAAGGTCTTCGTGTCTCAGTCCGATGGAGACGCCTCTACCGGACCATTCGGCAAGGGGGAGCCCTCTCTTACCATTGTCCTCATTGACAAGTCCGTAGCTGACTTCATAGGCCGTGATCTCCCCGTTGGTCTCAGCAGGCTCAGCCCAGCTCAGCTGCGTCACAGTGGAAGAGACGACGTTGAAAGCCAGACGCCCAGGTTCACTGGGAACTAACAGGAACGAGAACAAAGAGGCGGGGTTGGAAACAAGCAGGCGGGGAGGGCTGGATATCTCTGGGTGTGAGCAATGGGACAACTGGCTCGATCTGGGGAGATCTCCCGACTGACAGTGGTACCACCACATGCTTATTTTACATCAGTTGCTCTGGAAGGTGCTGGAAAACGCATCACAGAGCCTAGAGCGTCTAGACCCTTCCATATGCCTATCGCTGCCCGTGTCCATGATGGACTGTCTTCTCCTCTCCTCCCGCAATTTGGTTCTTTCTGATTGGCCCCCTGGAGGAAGGTATCTGGGTGGAAGGAAGAGTCTTGCCAGCCACAAACCAGAGATAGGAGGACACAAGACATGCCATTGGGTCTCACGCAATGTGGCCACCTTCCCAATGCTTCATTCTCACGTCCTCAGACATTCCCCTTGGGCGCCTATTCCACTGCCACTCATGAAGGTGCGGTACACAGCATTCAGAAGCACATTAACAAAGAGGATTTATACGACGTGGGCACTAGCGGTGGTAGATGTGTTCCCAACTAGGAACTGGGCGAAATTTTTTGATCAAAACCTTTTCTTGGCAAAAAAAGGCCATGAAACATTTCATGAATTCATGTTGATTTCGCGTAATTGTTTTGGGAAAAAAAATCCTAAACCTTTCATCTCAGTACTTGAAATATGAAACGTTTCCATTTTTCATTTCAAAATGACTTCTGGTTTCAAAATTTCCTGTCATTTTTATTTAAAAAAAAAAAAAGCAATCAAAACCATTTAAAAATGCTTGAAACCCAAGTGAGATGTTACATTTGGGATCAAAGAAAATGTTTTGATTTTAAAATGCAATTTTATTTTATTCTGTTCTTTTGATTTTTCAGAATTGCTAGTGAACCAAAAAATCCCTTATTCCTCTAGCTCCATTCAGAGCTTCATAAGACATCCGGCTGTCATTGGGCAATAGGAATCCTGTGATCAATATTTCAGGTTTCCATTTGTTTGGGGCCTTCTGCTTTTTTGTTGTTTTCATGGCAAGATTTAATAAAACAGCCATCCCCGACTACTGACTGGTGCAATACAAGATGAAGTAAGATGTTCAGATTGGTACCCGGAGAAGCAAATACTCTTCCATTTATGAGGATCTGAGCAGTTCTTGGACCTATAGCACTTTGTAACACATTCACACAACGTGTTTCATCTTCATTAACCAGTTCATCCCCACAACAACCCTGCGGGAAAGGCAGGGGAATATCCCCATTACCCCAAGTGATGAGAATGGGATAAAACATGGGACTTGAGTTTAATCACTTGGTATGGAGGTTGCTCAGCTCTTAAAAAAAATGAGGCCTATAAGAGTACGTCTACACTGCACCAGGGAGCGAGTCTCCTAGACCAGGTCCACAGACGCAGGCTAGCGCAGGGGTGCGCAAATGTTTTGACCTGAGGGCCACATCTGGGAATACAAATTGTATGACGGGCCATGAATGCTCACAAAATTGGGGTTGGGGGTGCAGAAGGCAGTGAGTGCTCTGGTTGGGGGTATGGGCTCTGGGGATGAGGAGTTTGGGGTGTAGGAGGGTGCTCTGGGCTGGGACCGAGGGGTTCAGAGGGCGGGATCAGGTCTGGGGCAGGGGTGCAGCAAGGGGTGCAGGTTCCTGGCTGTGGGTACAGGCTCTGGGGCGGGGCTGGGATTGAGGGGTTTGCAGAGCAGGAGGGGGAGCAGGGCTGGGGCACGGGGTTGGAGCATCAGGACAGGCTCTCAGGAGTGCAGGCTCCGAGTGGCGCTTACCTCAAGTGGCTCCTGGAAGCAGTGGCATGTCCCTTCTCTGGCCCCTACGTGAAGGCATGGCCAGGTGGCTCTGCGCGCTGCCCCATCTGCAGGCACCGCCCCTGCAGCTCCCATTGGAGCACCAGAGGGCGCCATTGGAGCACGTAGGAGCCACATAGTACAGCCCACGACCCAGTGCCCTGGCTGGATCGCTGGAGCGGGGCGAAGCCAGACCCAGCTCCCCAGTGGGAGCTCATGGGCCGGCTTAAAAAGGCCCTTGGGCCATAGTTTGCCCACCCCTGGGCTAGCATGCTAAAAAGAGTGATATAGATGTTGCAGCTTGGGCTCTCAAGCATGTGTGTGCATGTGAGAGAGCTCCTGGCAATGGCTACCTGGCTGTTTTTACACTAGCACAAGTCTGTGGCCCTGGGCTAGGAGTCTCACTCCCAGAGGCAGTGTAGACATACCCTAAGATGTCCCAGCTGGGGACACAGGGTGAGAGAGGTTCAGTGACTGGGCCAAAGCCAGAGATGGCACCTATTTCAGAGCTGGTAGCAGATACTCAAACACTCCTGGCTCCCAGGCCTGGGTGCAGACCACCAGATTGTGCCTTTTAAAAGACCAGGTTGTCCTGAAGACATTTCCAATGAGGCATCAGCCTTCAATACACGGGACAGGGTTTGGTGTCCTCTGGCCACATCAGGTGGCCACTAGGATATAATCCCCACAAACACCACGCGAGCCTGTGGGAACAAGCCAGGGGGAGCAGCTCACCGTCCTCCAGGGTGCGGCAGTGGGTGACATCCGAGTAGGGCCCCTCGCCCATGCTGTTGTAGGCACAGACCTGCATCTCATAGTCGCAGTAGGGGTATAGGTTATTAAGCTCTGCTGATGGCACTGTGGAATTGATCAGCCTGGCCTCTGACTCAGGGTCCCCTTGGATCCAGTACTTCACCTACCATCGAAGGGAAAACCATAAGTACTTCTCCCCTTCCCTATTCTCCTTCAGTTCCTCTTCCCTGCCACCAAGAGCGATTATAAACCAGGGGCAAACTTCATGAAACCCGCTCCCTCTGGCAGGCTGGGGTAGTGAGTGTTCTGTACAGCAGGACGCAATGGTCAGAGAAGTGGTCAGAGAAGACCCATGCACCAATGAAGCCCTATTTTGAGAGAATAAGTGGTGTACAGTCTGCATGGGATGGGGGAGTTCACCCTACATTCAACACTGACCATCTAGTCCTGCCCACTCCCAGCGCGGGACTGTTCCCTCCGGTACATTTTCTGGAGCTTTGCCTAGGCTAGTTCTTTCTGTGCTATATGATGGAGTTTGCCCCATTTTCCCTGGCAGGAAGCTCTGCCCGCTAATCCCTCATGCCCTAGCAACACCCCTTTGGGAGTGCAGTGAGAACACAGTGGCCTTTCCCCGCTGGAGAAATGTAACTTCACATCTAAGGGAAATATGTCTGAGTCCCCAGTGGGCTCTGCTGCTCAGGCATGATTAGCCGCTACTGCTCAGGAGAGAGGCGGCGGCAAGGCAGGTCCTGCAGGTTGAGTTCCCTGTGCCTTGGCAAAGCTATGTTGGAGCTAAGGACCGTGGGATATGCATCAGAGAAGGAATGAGGGGAATAAGAGTCGGGATATGCATCAGAGAAGGAATGAGGGGCAGTGGCTGAACTGGAGGGGCGTGGAGAGGGTTGGAGTAGCGAGGCACACTGGAGCTAAGGGTCGAGGTTCCTTGACAAAGGTGAGCAGGGAAGATTGGCACTATGCCTGGCTCTCCCCTGAGCTACACGTTCTTTCCCTTCCACAAACCCCAAGGCCACCCCAGCCCCACCCACCCCCACACCAGACAGACAGGCAGGCTTCATATGAGAGATAAGCCCCTTGCTGACTTTCCCTTACTGGACTTGAATAAGATTTGATCTGGTTGGAGGAAATCCACCCAGGACATCCTGCTCCCACCCATCAAGCTCTATGCGAGCTCATGCGCCCGTGATGCCCTCCCACCTTCCAGCACCTTCTCTCCCCTCCCCCGCTGCAGGATGAAGGATCATTGGACTGGAGTGGCCATGACACCCCAGGATGATGGGCTGTCCATGCCCACCCCAGGAACCGGTTTAGCCCTTACCTTGTACCCTATGGGTTTGCCAGGCGGTGGTAACCAGTTGAAACGGATTTTCCTGGAGCTTAGAGTTTGGGCGTTTGGATTGAGCGGTACACCCAGCTTGCCTCTGGGAGACTGAGGGAACTGGCCCAGGCCAATTGGGATCTGTATGTCATCTACAACCTCTGCAGTGGGGAGAGTGAAATGCTATGAGTGCATCAGTGACCATCCCTTAGCAGGACGGAGTGAGAATGGGACAACCTACATCACCACTTCTCCAGCTCTCTCAGTGCTTTACGGCCATTACTACATTAGGTCTCAAGCCATCCCTGAGGAGCTGATCAGTATCCTCTTCACTTTGCAGAGAAGGGAAACTGAGGCACACAGAGGCACTGTGACATGGTCACACAGCAAGTCGGAGCAAGTCAGGAATAGAACCCAGGCATCCTGTCCCCGAAACTAGCCGCTGAGCCACACTGCCTCTTCGGTGATGCATGCGGGGCTTGTGCCCCGGAAATGAATCCGTGAATACACCAGCTGCTTTGGCTTGGCTTTCTGGAAGCATTTGGCTTTTCTATTGTGCATTTTATCCTGCTTCAATAATGGTTTCTCCTTTGGATCACAGTTCCACAAAACCGCTCAGACAGTGTCAAGTACATACCTAATAATGACATTATCACCATCTACCCAACAAGTGAGGAGAATACACAGCTGTCTGATAGGGCTTCCCGTTCAACCCATATAGCCTGGCTCATGCGGGAAGGGCCACTTCACGTGTGGTTGCACAGGTATCTAAACCCCACGGAGCCCCATGGGACTAAAACATTAACGCTGCAGACAGTACTATGTGGTTTATCGACTCCCCCAAAACCCCTGCTACCTGCACCCAGATCCACAGGGAAAGGAAACAGAGAAACCAATTCCACTTCGGTTTGCAATTCACATGATCCATCTCCTCCCAGTCTCTGGGAGGGAGATACAGTCTATGCACGTCGACCACCAGGGGGAACCAAAACTATATCCTGAAATACACCAGCACAACATGCAAAATCTGCAGACATATCTCCACGGCTACAACGATCAACACCCCCACAACGTACCTTCCAAGGTCCCAGGTTCCTACACGAGCCGATCACAACTGGACGGTGCACCTCATCTAGTGCACTAAATGCCCAACAACAACTATGTGGCTGCAACCAGACAATCACTAGGCTCTCGAATGAACTGACACAGGAAAATATAAAAGGGACTGGGTGGGGGGTAATAGGTGCCTATATAAGACAAAGCCCCAAATACCAGGGGCTAGAAATACCTAGAAAATCGGGACGTCTGGTCACCCTAGCGCGAAAGCTTGTCTCTCTCACCAACAGAAGTTGGTCCGGTAAAAGATGTCACCTCATCCACCTTGTCTCATTAACCGCCCCAGGCAGCTGGGGTTGGGACCCAGACCGGCAGCATGCTGAGACAAGGGCATCGCCCATGAAAGCAAAGCAGCATCTCTGGTAGCTCAGGCCACACATCTGTACACATCACTGATGTGACTCACTGTAGTGATTACATGCCTCGTACTACTTTCCCTGGCCTAGAGTCATTCAATCTGCCAGCAGCACATGGCACAAGAACCTGGCGATGCAGGAAAAGCACGGCTCCCCGGCGGCACACCCACCTGGGTCGGTGATGGTCACCGTGGTCTGCGGGTATTTGCCGATCTTGGTGCCGTACTTGGGGTTGAGCAGATCCACAGCAAACTGTTTGAGCTGGCGGTTCTGCAGAAGGGCATCTATCTCGGTCAGCTCCAGCAGCGCCACCTGCACCTCCTTCTGCATCTCCCCAGGCTGGAAGACCAAGTCGCCCTCCACGAACATGTAGTCCTGGGAGAGGAGAAGAAAGAACATGCTAAATAGTGTATTACTCCCTAGCCACAGCATCCTCGGGACATGGCTCATTACTGAGTCCTTCCCCACACTGCATCCACAGGACATGTCTCATCAGCATGCCCGCCCCCTCTCCATCCACATCCATCCAGCTCATTAGTGTGGTCCCCCCAACCCTCCACATAGCCATGGAATATTGCTCAGTACTGTAGCAGATTCCGAAAGGAACCCAGCTGTATTCTCATGTAATATAAACACAAACACACGCTCCCTTCTCTAGTGCTATCACTCCTGCAGTATAGTGTATACAGCAGGACCTCTCCAGGCTGACCCTGCTGCAGGCAGCTTTGCAGGACATGACCAGCACATGATTCCTGCTGGGGAGCTTCCTGATTTATCCTGGCTTTCCCAAACAGTCCATTATCACAAGCATGTCAGAAGGCTGGTCAAGATGACAGAAAGAGTGACATTTTTACTAGCCACAACCCCAGGCCTCCAACAGGCAAACCTGGCGGGACAGAGCTAGGAAGAGAACGCAAGAGCTCCTGGCCCCCATTCTGCGCTCAGACCTCCAGGTCACATCTCTCCCACCGCCCCCTGGAGTATAGTCACCATTCATTCATTTTGCTGGGATCTGTCTCTGCTGTGGCAGCCCCTGTAATTACTGGTCCCAGCTTGCTGGGTTTCATGCCACCATGCTCAGCTCCACCAGTACCAAGAAGCACAGTCCTCACCTTGCCATCCTTGGCGGTGAGATCACGAGTTCTGTAGGTGATCTGGGACTTTCCGTTTTCCACGATCTCCCGACGCACAGGGATTCTGGCCACCTGGTCGAAGCGGCTGTGAGAGTAGGCTGGCTGCAGAAAGGTGATGATGCTGCTGGCTGAAAGAAGTCAGATAGGTGGACCGTGTGAAACAAACAAATACCTGATGGAGGCTTCTTAGAAACACACACAAACTGAATAGAGCTGGGTTATTTAAAGCCACCATACTGTTGAAGACATTAGTAAGAAATTGTCGCAAAAGACCTGAGGATCCGGTAGTCTCAACAGCGCAGTTTCTAAGAAGAAACACCAGGAGGAAAGATGGAATTGGGGGCATCACTCAGAGATTACGTAAAAGTTAAGAAAGAAAAAAGGGTGTGAAAGAGGAAGGTCAGGGAGAAGGAACCCCAAAAAAGGAACAGAGGAAATCTGGAGTTATCCCTTCACACCCAGCTAAAAAGTCTCTCCTAGCCTCATGATCAACGGCTTTTGCTGAAAGCACGAGCCATCTAAGTGCGGATGGGGGCTGCCGGCCAGGACAGCACAGGAAGGGAGGGACCAGCTCTGGGAAATTCTCCTTCCCTCCTTGTCTTCAAATCAAGATGATCTAGTTCAGACACAAATCACTGGGCTGGAGACAGGAATCCCTGGGTGAGGGTTTCCAGCCTGTGCTGTGCAGGAGCTCAGACTAGATCAGAATGGTCCTTTCTGGCCTTAGGAGCTATTCACCTAGATTTGAGAATTTCTTATCACACCCCCTCCGCCCCCTTCACCTTGCTCTTTGATTATGGTGATATTGACGAGCCTGCGTCCAATCGCTGCTGTCCCCATGGGGACCTCAACTGCCTCCACCTGCAACTGCTTCTCATCGTCGTCTTCCTCCCTGATGAAGAGTGGGACCCGGACGTCCACCAGCTCCACACCTTCCTGGAACTCCACCATCCCGTGGGCATCTGCGCAGGCGGAGAGGGTGAAAGGGCATAGCTGGGAGGGTCCCTCCTCACAAACCCCTATTTTGCCTTGGTCAATAAGCTCAACCCCGCTCCTACCTTGGTCAGAGGTCACGGTATAGTAACCCGGCGTCACCTTCAGCTCATTGAAAGCTTCCTGAGAGACATGTTTCGCCGTCACTTTCACGATCTCCATCTTGGCCGAAAGGGGAGCAGTGAGCACTGTGTCCACAATTGTGTGGTCCTGCCTGCAGCCCAGTCAGGGGAAGGAGAGAAAGGAGTTCATGTTCTGTCCCTGTTCTGTCATCAGACGCCTCTTCCAACCAGCCATTCACAGCACTAGTCAGCCATCAAAGCTTTCAATCAGCCCGTACACACACGCCACGCACAGACACCCGCACAGGTGAGGAGTGCAGAGTTTAACGGAGAGACGGACGGACAGAGAGAGACGTGAACATTCCACCTACCTTTTCCCAGCATTGGGCTGCAACCTAGGGAAAAAACAGACCAGCAAGTGAATAACCCCACCAAATCCCACTTGGGGAGGGATGAAGGTCTCTAAGTATCCAGAGTCTGTCTAAAGCAGGCTAGCACTAAGAGAGCAGCTCCACTGGCTCCAGCAGCAGAGCACCCTCATGGGACCACTGAAGGCAGGAGTTCAAGTCCGACCTCTGACTTTTCCCTGTAGCTACAGTTTCTGTCCTTGCTCTTGTGCAATGCGTGGCAAACGATCGCGAGTTCCGAAGAGCCCCACATACTGTGGGACGCAGCCTTAGTCTCTGGCTGACAAGTTCCACGCAGGGCATCTCTGCTTTGTCATCCAGAACTGCTGACCCCCAGCACTGTTCCCTACATGTCCTGCTGCTCCCTATGACCCAGCTTTTCCAGACTCCATAGTGCCCAGGGATGTGGTTTACAAAGAGTTAACCTTGGGGAACAATTCTCCCTGCTGAGAGGATACCATGTTTACAGGGCCAAAACCGGGTCCTCACTGCAGTCTATGGGAATTTTGTCATTTACTTCAGTGAGACGTGATTAGACCCATAGCATTTTAGCCCCATGTATGGAGCCAGAAGTAGTCCAGAGAGCCCATGGGTGCCTTTGGGGGTGTGCTGGGAGGCCCATGGCAAGCGTGTGAATCCCTGGCATTCACATCATGGTACTAGGGGTACCACTGCACCCGGGCTGCTGGGAAGGATTACTCCTCGGAAACTGCCCATGCAGAGTTTAGGTGCCCCTCTAGGTCAGAGTGCCCACCCTGGGGTCAGAACTGGGAGAGTTTGCAGCCCTGGGTGCTCCAGGCCCTCCCTTCTTCCCAGCACCCCTACATCCGCTCTGTCCCTGGGTCACTCACCTGAACTTGGTCTGCTGGAGTTTGTGGGCACCAGAAACGTGCTTGTAAACATCGTTCAGCTGTAAGGAGCAAGAGAGTCTGTTACAGCCCCACAGGGACTCAGCATGGCAGGCACCATGCAGCCAGCAAACCGAGCCAGCTCCACTCAGCCCTTTCCCTCGCGACAACCCCATCCTCCTGCCCACCTCTCTGTGCCACCCCAGCCAGAGAAGCCAGGGCCTCCCCGTCGTCTGTACCATCCTCGGCAGGGAGGCAAACCCCCGGCAGAGAGAACCTCCTCGGTAAGACAAGCCCTTCAGAATCGATGTCTGTTTCCATCCGCTCCCCAGCCCTGTTGGCTGCAACCAACCGGCTTCCTGCTTTCCTGGCCCTAGTCACAGAGCCGCAGCTCACACTGGCTGTACCTGGCTCCCTCTGCCACAAAAGGTAAAGCCCAGAGAGAACGGTTTGGCCCCTTACGTTCTCCTCCACCTCCTTGCGCAGATGCTCACATTCCCGGGTGTCTGGTTTCATGAGGTTCTGGGTGAAAAGCCGGGCCAGTCTCAATGAGATGCCATAAGGAACTGGAGAGAGGAATCCCCGGTCAGACCCCCTCACTGTCAGTCAGAGAAACCACCCCATGAACAGCTGGGAGCCAGGCAACGCCGGGGCCTTGGGGGCCCACAACCCAGCCAGCAGCACCTAGTTTCCAGGGCTCGGATGGCTCACACGGTGCTCAGACCATCAGTTGCCACAACCAGTAAGTGCTGGGCAAGACACAGCCAGAGCCCAAGGAAGCAGCCACTCTGGATTGAGGAGTAGAGTGACCATTTCCCTCACCTCTCCCAAAGCAGCAGCAGGGAGAGTGGAAAGCTGAATCCAGACAGCAGTCTGCTGAACTAAGGCAGCAGGTAGAGATGGGGCATCTGCTGGGAATAGCTGTTCTAGGCTGGAACATCTAGGGATGCTCATGGTGGCGGGCCCGGGGGACCTCGCAGTCACTGCAACAGAGACGGGATATACTTTGAGGGGCAGGCGTCTATCCCTTGGGGGCGGGAGAAGAGAAAGGGAAGGGGAGTCTCCTCACAATGGGGGTGCTGTCCTGGGAAAGGAGCTAACTAGGACCTGGGGATAGTGAAGGGCCAGGAGGAGATCCCAAGGCAGCCAAACCCTCTTCCCCTTTGGCGTCAGTGGGAGGCCACACACAACCCACCACTCGCGCGGCATTAGCACTCACTCAGCTCCTTGGGGTTTGCGGCGGCGTGGGAGGAGAAGCCTGGCTTGTGGACGTTGTTGTTGATCTTCCAGCAGACGGTGTCTCTGCCCTTTAGGGAGCCGCTGCGCACCATGGGGGTGTCCAGGTGGTCCGAAGCCATGAGGCTCTGCCGCAGCATGTAGTGATCCTCTTTGAACCCGACTGTGCGGCCTGCAGGGCGAGGGGGGAGCAGGTTAAAGCCCAGAGGGCTCCAAGGCTCAGGCTCTGCCCTGCATACATGTGGTGCTGGTGGGAGGAGCTGGACTGACAGACCGTCTCTGTTTATCCACAAAGCAGGCTCCCCCATCACACTGCCCTGCTGGGGAGCTCTGACGCCATGGCCCAACTCATCCATGGCCTCTCTGCCAAGATGCCAATAAGGGGCCCACTAAACCGTCCTCTCTCTACAGCAGCTGCAACCTCTTCCTGGGCCCTGTGGAACTTACCCCTCCCGAGATCACTGTCCCCAGGAGGACCTTCCAGGAGACCCTCGATCCATCTGCTGCCTGAGGTTCGGTGCTTTGCTCTTAGGGATTGTTATTGCATGTGACAAGCCCAGGATGCCAGCGGCATCTGCCCAGAGCTGGCATGGCTCATGGGGGACCAGGGTGCATCATCCCAGCAGGACATCCTGCTTGTCCACTGAACAAACAATGCCCGTTCAGCAGCCGCGCTCCAGGGGCACTTTAGCAGCAACCCCGGCTCTGTCCCGTAGAGAGCACACACAGCCCCTCCAGTCTCCCACCAAGGCCATTGGCTAATGGTCTCCACTAAGAACCTTTGCCCTGCTGAGCCTTTCAGGCTCTTGAAGGGTTAACCCCACTTGGGGGTCTTGCTCCTGCCCAGCCCCTTCCCGTCCTACCCCTCTCTGAAAGCGGCCCCCTCCCCCCAGAACAAGGTACCTCGTGCACAGCAGGGCAGCAGGGCCAGGCAAGCCTAGGAGACAAAAAAACAGAAATGGAGAGTCCCCCTATGGCCAGGAGCTCCTTAGAGCACAGTGCCAAAAGAATGCTCCCTCCCATGCTGCTGGAGAGGGTTAGATCAGCAACAGGAAGCCATGGGGGGCGGGGGGCACGAATACAAATTGTGCAGTCTCCAAGAGCTGGCAACCCCATGTCATCGTTCCCCTGGGAATGCTGAGGCCAGGTCCCTTTGCCTCCCGCACCCATCTCCCGTAGCCCCCATGCCATCCTGGCCTGTGCACACGACAGCAGCAAGGGGGATGGCTGCAAACTCCTCAGCCGTGCATGGCAGACTTCCATTCTAGCCTTGCCTCTGGGGGGAAATCCCTGCCCACACTGCTCACGGAAACCCTGCTAAGCAGCAACTGTGCTGGAGCATGGACACCATGTGGAAGAGACATCTTGTCTCCTCCCCACACTTCCGGGGGAACTTCGGTCCTAGAGAGAATGTATGTTCTCCTCTGGCAAATGCTGCATTTGGTTGTTTGGCGGGTGGGTGGGCAGTGGGTGTTTAGGTACAGCAGAGCCACCAGGGCCTCTGCATTGTTAACTCCCCAATTAGCGTAGCAGCATCCACAGCCAGGCAGTTATCGCTCTGGAGACCCCCGCAAAATGACTCACATTTGGTAGCAGGCCCACAAAACTACGGGCTTCATTTAAAAAGAGATCGGCAAGCAAGCCGTGGGATTTACAAATACAGTCAGAACCCAGTGGTCTTTCCTCACCATGGCCCGCTCTACACTACAGAAGTAGCCACCTTTAAACACCCTGCCTAGCTCACTGTGTTCTAACATGGCTTCTTTTCGGTTGTGCGGGCAGAACACCCCAGGAGCTAACCACGTTCAGAAAGCCTAGACATCTGCCCGCGAAACCACAGAGCAACTGCTGTCCCTCGTGGGCAGGAGTGTTTACCCTAAGGGGGACACAGCCACGAATGTGCCGGGACCGTTTGGCACATGCCAGCTCCCATCTACCTCCTACTGAAGCCACTGGCAAAACTCCCCTCAGTTCCAATGGGAACTGGCCCTCTTTCCCCAAAATTACATTACATTCAGACCCTTTGGCTTCCCAGCTGGATCAGCAAAGGCGCAGCGGGGCCTTTTGTAAAGTGTCTTCCGAGAGATGGGTCTGAAAGGCTGCTTTCCAATAGCTAGGATTTCAGCCTTGGATAATTCCCCTGCATCTGCCACACCTGCCCCGGGGGTCTGAGTGCAGCCCCGCACGGCGGGACCCAGATCTCACCTTGCAACAAGTGCAGTACTTCCAGCAGAGCAGCAGCAGCAACCCCAGGAGTAACATCAGGAAAATGAGCAGGGGGATGAGCCAGAGGAAGCTTCCTGGTGGGCACTCTGCAACCAGCAGCAATGAACTAGCGGTTAATTGGGGGCAGCAGGACCCAGCATGTCTGGGGTGGGAAGAGAGGGAGAGGGAAGGAGAGTGGAGCCAGAGAAAGGGATGGGGGGATGGGAGAGGGCAGGCCAGAATTCTCCTTGGGAGGGTGCAGCCAAACCTAGGTCCGGTAACGTCCCTGTGACTGCCCCAGGTACTCACTAACAGAGACACCCATAAGTGCCAGGCAAGGAGAGGCGGCTGCCAGCTCTTCATTCACTTCCCCAGCATGGAGCCAGTTCAAAGCCAGCCTAGGGCGGGAGTGACTGAAAAATGCTCCCAGCTGATGGCTGTTGGGTTGCCTGTGTGGGATGAACTGGGGGGAATCTCAGTCCAGTTCCCAGGGGACAATGGTAACCAGCTCCCAGTAACCATCCCCATGGGCACTACCAGGCCCCTCTGCTGGCAGCCTTGGCTGAGTGACCACGGCCTGGCCAGATCATTTAGCATTATTTGTACAACCCCACCAATGCGCTCGGGGTGCTACGGACAGGCGCAGAGACAAGCCATGGGCCAGAAGTGGCTGGGGGCTCAGCCAGGGGGTCCCTCAATATTTCAGCTTATTGCTGTGGAGTGCACTCCCCTTTGCAGGGCAGGCAAGCCAGGGTTTGCAGGTGTTCTTGGAGACGTGAGCTGCAGACTGAGCCACGCTCTTGGCCCTGCAGGGGCCCCATAGGGCAGCGAGAGGGAAGCTTGCACCTTCCCCTGCCCATGCTGGGCCTGTGCTGTGGATGGGGCAGGCTCTAGCCCTCTCAGAGGCTCCTTTCACTAGCCCCAAGTTCATACACTTCTTTCGGAGAGAAGTGGCCTCTAGAATGGTCACCAGAGGGGATCTCAGACTTAGTGTTTGCAGCCCTGAGGCCCGCAAGGGGCAGAGAGAGAGTCGAGCTGCGACCAGCGGTTGGCGCGGGCACAAGGCCCTGCTAGCTCTGAGCCTTAGCCACACCGCCTCCCCCCAACAGGGCCCCGCTCACCTTTCTTCTTCTGCACCAGGATGGTGTTGTTGTGCAGTGTGCTGGGATCCCCTTCCAGGGTGTAGCGGTAGGTGCAGTCGTCCTCCTCGTCCTGGAACGAGCAGTACTCATTCACCTCCTTCACTAGAGAGAGAGCAGGGGTGGGGGCAACTGCTGTCATGGGAGGTCCATTGGGATTGGGCCCCATTGTACTAGGCGCTGCTCGCACGCACATGCACGCAGTCCGGGCTCGGGCAAGCCACATCAGATACACACACAGCTTTGACACCCGCAGGCTGAGGGCTCAGTACCTTTTTGCAGTTCATCCACCATCTGGATCTTGAAAGGGCAGTCCTTGCATTTCTGCCCCTTCTTCTCCCCGGTCCCCCAGGCCTGGCACTGGACGCAGCTTCGAATGTCTTCGCACACCCCCAGCACGACCTGTGCACCAGAGACATGACATCGGACGGTGAGAGGGAGAGAGGGAGGGACAACGTCGGACTCTGAAGGATGAGTGTGGGAGACAATTCATGCGCCCTCGTCATCAGAGTAGGGGCGGGGGTGGAGAGGGGACATCAGACTGGGGGGGACTAGAGTGAAAGTGTGCGGCGGTGACATACAAAGAGTGACTATGCAGCAAAAGGTGAGTGGGAACCCAGCTCAGCTCAGTTCAAATCCCTTTACGGATTCAAACTGAAATCCCAGACAATCCTGGATGCTTTTCCTTTTGGGCCCAAAGATGGCATTTGGAATCTGAACCCAGATTTAGATTTTGGCAACTGGCTCCTAATTTCTATATTGAGCAAAACCAAAACCCCAGATTCAAACACATGCACGTACCCATGCAATGCACGCAGTGTATCAACAGAGACCAGCCCCGGGTCACAAAGTTTTGATCCAGAGCCAAACTTTCCCAAATGTAGGAGATATTTAGATCTGGGGTTTTGAATCAGCCCCATGTCAATAAAATAATCAACACTGATATTATGCCCTGAGGTAGCAGCTCTCATCTGAGGATCTCAGAGAGCTTTCACAGACATTAACAACCTGAGTCTCCCACACCCCTGAGAAGTAGCGAAGTATATTCCTCATTTTAAAGTTGGGGAAACCAAGGCACAGGGAAGTTAAGTGTCTCAGAGTCAGAAATAGAAGCCAGGAGCTAAATCCCAGACTTACACTCTAACCACTAGGCATGCTCCCTTCCTGTGAATACATATCTTAGTATACTGTTGTATTTATCAGTGTAATAGCATCGGTGAGCTAAACACACCTGGCTAAGAGCCTTCTGTGGCCGTTCAGCAGCCACACCAGCCTTGCTGCCACAGGATGGAAACCATTCTAACGAGCCTGAGGAGAAAGCAGGACCATCCCCAGGAGATTGCTTCTAGCCTGTATGTGCTCTTGGCCTCGTTTGGGGTTCCCCCCAGCCCTCTCAAGAGCCCCATGTTCCCTCAGAGGCTCTGGAGCCAGGCTGTGAGCAGAGAGGTGATGCATTAGGAGTACTGGTCTCTGACCATCGAACTGGGAGCCTTACCAGGGAGTAGTTGATTTCACAGGTGAGATCCGTGTACGGAGAAGACTTGTCGCAGATGCACCTGCCGCATTCGCATCTCCCATGGCCATTGCAGATCCCCTGCAGGAGTAGAAGGGGCCAGGATCAGCCTCCGACACTAGTGATAAGCCCTCACTTAGCGCTGCTGGTAACAGAGGTCCTAGAGCAGCGGCTCTCCTTCAGTGTTGCCCTGTCAACCTCTCCCCCGCCATCCCCATCACTTACCGACAGTGACACCAGCTGGGATAAAAATGATACGGTCCATCAAATCCTCATGTGTCAGGGCAGGAGCTGATCATCAACTGGGGTCAGGAAGAAACTCCCCCACTCATGGGATAGCACCGGGCCAGGGAGAGCATTGTGCCACCCGTAGCTGCACTTGCTTCTTTCAGGCCATCCAGCGCCCCAGCTTAATTAGATCCAGATCTCTCTCTGACCCCGAACCCTTTGGATCCAGGGCAGCAGGAAAGTCAGACCCAGCCTCCACCTAGTTTGCCCTCCCCCGCCCCAGCATGGAACAATCCCGCACTCAGTAACCTACCCCTTTGCTGTCGATGCAGGTGTCATTGCTTGTGGGGCATTCACAGCCAGGGCCCCCCCAGCCACTTTCACATGCACACTGACCCATGTAGCAGCGACCACGATCTGCAGAGAAAGAGCGGATGCTACAGGTGAGTGCTGAATTGGGCAGCATCCCTAGCTCCTGATCCCCTGAGGATATTCCTGCCTTTGACTCTCAGTCCCATGAGCCATCCCAGCTGCTCCCTAGAGGATTCCCTCACTGTATCTTAGATAGCTGGGCTTTGTCCTCCTACTTTACCCTTTGAGGGCACCTGCCCTCCTCTCCCTGGGGGAGAGGAAAAGGGATAGTTGGTTGCATGGTGCAAAGAAGCAATTGATTATACTGATTACAGACGAGGGACATGATCCAGTTTCATTCAGATCAATGGGCATCTTTCCATTCACTTCAATGAGGGGTGGGCCAGGACCCAGGGCTCTAATCAGACCTGAGCTGCACCAATCCTTCACTATGGCCCTGGCTCCAAAGCAACTCTACGGTTAGCAAAGCACACTCCCTTCCTTGTGCTTTGCAGTGTAACCTTCCGGCTCAGGATGCGGGTGGTGGGGCCATGTCCCTCTCTAGTAGCTGGTTCTTAGTGCATAAAAGGATCTACTGCAACTACCATCACCAACTAAAGGAAATCTCCTTTAGCTCAAGGAGCAGAGGCCTATCTATTGAGAGCCCCATGTCCTGGGTTCTCTCCCCAGAGTCCCTATGAGCAGCAAGATTTGTTCCAGGTGCGGGCTGAAAGCCAGGCTTCGTGTTGGATTTAGTATTTGTATTTAGCTCTAACTCTTAAGGGATGTCTGGGTCACACGAGACAAGCTTTGGCAGCCATTCTCGGACAGTCCTGTTCAGAAAAGCTCTTTGCAGAGATGGGTCCTGACCCAACTCTCCAGATCTGACCCCTGCACTGGGGGGCGTTTGCACATCTGGCGTTGAAGCGCACATCTTGAGGGGTGTGAATGGCAAAGCTCTGCGCCTGCTTCATTACCAAAATCATGCCTGGGCAGCGCCCCAAGGGAAGGAGCTGCAGGAGCCCCCGAGGCCAGCTAGCAGCTGTGTCGCAGGCGGGCAGGCGCCAGCCTCTCGGCCCCCACTCACCATTGCAGAGGAAGCCGGAGGTGCGTGGGCACTGGAAGTTGTCGAACTGGCAGAAGTCACCCTCGTAGCGCTGGGTCAGGTCCTCAGAATAGCACTGGCATTTCCCGCAGAGGCACTCGCCCCGCCCCGAGCAAGGCTCTGAGTCTCCAGGGCGGATGCAGGCCTGGTTATCACTGGAAGAGGCTGTGGAACAGTTACACGCGTCCCCTCGCCTGGCAGAGAGAGAGAGAGACACACACACACTGAGAGGCCTTAGAAGCCAGAGGCACCAGGGGGCCCATCAGGGGAAAGATCCCTGGCACCGGACCCAGTGGGGAGATTCACATCCACAGAGAGAGCAGCCATCACATACAGGGTGAGAAAGCCTAAGCCAAGATCTTTTGACCTCCACTGATAACTGAAGCCTGGAGGAGGAGGTTTCCAGGACTGGGTCCCCTACGGAGCAGCACTGGACAGGATCCTTACCAGCCTGGATAGCAGACGCACTGCCCACAGACAAAGTCCCCTTTGAAACTGCACCTGGATGAACCAACGATCTTTTGCTGTAAACAAAAACGAGAGGGGACGTTACTGACCCTCCTCCAGGGACTCAGACCTAGTCACGTGTCCCTAGAAGATGGACTAGCAGGCTCTAGGGTCTCTAGGACCCTCTGCTGATGGCCCCTGAGGGCACATGAAGAAGAGCAGGTGGGTGGGGGCTGGGCAGATCTTCAGCAGGATGAGAGGGGAGCTCTTTTTAGCAGGTACCGTATCCCTAGCTCTGTGCACAGGCTGTAGCAAAATGTCTCCTTGGCGAGATTAGGAATCTGTTCCACAGGAAGCTGGGAACAATAAACTCACTTCACTTGGGAAGCCCACCTCAGAAGGCCTGGAGATGCTGCCCGCAGCACCCCGAGCAGACACATCTGTAAACTCCATTCCACCCCCAGACCTCCAATGGTGAAACAAATCCACAGCCCCCAGCTCTTTGCAGTTGATACTACACGACTCACCCCAGCCATTTGTGCATTCATGGCAGCAGCAAGGACAGAATTCCTGCTCTGAAAGCACAAACCCTGGCTACCTGAGCTAAAGGAGAATCTCCATTAGCTGGTAGCTGCAAGGGGAATATGACACACAGTTGAACAGTGAGGATCCCATCTAGTAGAGGGCAGTGGTGCTCACACACTAGCCAATTCATTACAATCCCGGTCTGTAACAGAGCAGAGGATGTCCCGGGGTTTCCCCTGGAAGCGAAGAGGGTGGGAATGCAGCCTCCATACCTGCTCGCAGGGGCAGACGTCGCAGATGACGGAGGCGGTGATTTTCAGACTGTCACTCAAAGAGGAGGGTTTCACGTGAATTACCCCGTGCTGCTCTTTCTTGGGGAGGTTGCAGACGTGCTCCCCGCCCACGTACTCATGAGCTTTCACGCGCACCATGAAGTTGCCCTGAATGGAAGAGACCCATTTGTTAGCGGTCAGTGGCCAAACACTCCTTCTAGATCCAGCTGCTGCTCTGGTGGATTTGAACTGGTGGCCTGGAGGCAAGAGTCTGGGGAGATTGTAAAGGAAAGGATGGAGATAAGTATTTAAGAAAAAAAAAAAAGCTATCTCCTTTCCAGGACAATAAATGAATTGTGGGGAACTACCTTGCCCTGGCTGTAGAGGCTCAGCCTGCAAGGTACCTTCCGCTATTATTCATCTGTATTGCAGTAGCACCTAGAAGCTGCAATAATAAATGAGGGCCCCCATTGTATTAGGTGCTGTACAAACACACGACAAGACTGTCCCTGCTCCAAGGAGCTTAAGTCCAGCTATTACTCTGATAACACCAGGAACATGCACATTTCAAAACTGCTGTTAACCTACACAAGACAGGAAGGATGGCCCAGCAGTTAGGACACTAGCCTGAGACTCAGGAGACCTGGGTGCATTTTCCTGCTTTGTGAGACTCCCTGCATGACCCTAGGCAAATCACTTAGTCTGGGTGCCTCAGTTCCCCTTCTCTAAAATGGGGATAACACCACTGCCCTACCTCACAGGGGTGCTGTGAGCATGGATACACTGAAGACTGAGGTGCTCAGATACCATGATGATGAGGGCCAGCTAAGTCTCCAAGACGGATGGCATGAGGGTTTGTGGAGCGCACAGGAATGCAGGAACCACTTTTCAGAGGCTCGTTAATCAAGTGTTAAATGAGCTACAAGACTTTACCTGAGTTTATACTGATGACTTTGCACTGTTTAGCAGTTCTTGGTCAGATCACTGAAACCACTTGGGCATTGTGCTAACAAAACTCAGAGATGCAGGTCTTACTGTACAGGTGTCAAAATGTAAAACAGAAGCTGATGAAGTTCCTTATTTAGAACATTGGTTAGGAGGTGGCCAAATTTCTCCCAATCCCCTGAAAGTGAAAGCTGTTGTTATCTGGCCTATGGCCCAGACTGAAAAACAAGTCCAGTCTTTGACAGGGTTGGTTAAATATTGCCACCGATTTGTGCACGTTTCAGTGACATTGTGTCTGCTGTCACAGACTTGCACAAAAGCCAAAGCCAAATAAAACAGGGTGGGGACAAAAGCTTGCCAGGAAGGTTTTGATGAGGTAAAGAAAATCCTGTCAGAAAAGCCTGTTCTGCCCAGTCCAAATGTTGACAAAATGTTTGAACTATGCACTGATGCGTCAGACACTGGTTTGGGTGCGGTGGTGATGCAAATGGGGGAAAGGAACAAAAAGCTGCCCGTCACTTTCTGAGGTAAAAAAACTGACCCACTGAACAGAATTATTGTGTCATGGAAAAAGAATGTTATACCATTGTATGGGATGTCAAACCGGTAAGGCCCTGTCTATTAACAGAAGGTTTAGGATCCTGACAGATTGATATCCATTGGTGTAGCTGCATCGAACCCAAGGTACTAATTCCAAACTGCTACACCACACTCCAAGAACATGGCATGGAAACTGTGCAGATTAAGGGAAGAGAAAATATTATGGCAGATGCCCTGTTCAAGCAAGAGGGTTATGACCCGACACCTGCAGATCAGCCCGTGGCTGACCCTACTGTAAGAGAAGTGCGACCTTAAGAGCCACTCAGTGCCAACTGGCAACAGGTTCACTATTGTGGAACAACAAATCCTAACAGGCCTGAAAACTCACAACCATTGGCACGCTGCTTTCATGGTATTTATCCATAAATGATGTCACATGAGGGCTCTAATAAAGGCTTATGTCAGAGTAGGGTGGCCAGGTGTCCGGTTTTCGACCTTAAAATCCGGTTGGAAAGGGGACCTGATGGTGTCTGGTCACTGCAGGCGGGGAGGCGCCTAGCCATCACCTGCGCCAGCCCCTACTCAGCCAGGGCCGCCTCCCACCTGCATCAGGCGGCTGCAGCTCCCAGCCCCAGCTCTGTAGATGAGTCCCTCCCGACCCTCACAGGGGCGGGGAGAGGGAAAAAGCAGTGAGCGATGAAGAGAGGGGGAAAGAGGAGAGAATGGGGGGCGGGGGCTCAGGGGAAGGGGCAGAGCAGGAGCGGGTCCTTGGGGGAAGAGGCAGGGCAGGGGTGAGGCCTGGGGGGCAGGGGTGGGTCCTTGGGGGGGGAGGGAAGGGGAAGGGGCAGGGCAGGAGAGGTTCTGGCACTCCTGCTGGAGTGTCTGGTTTTTAAATATTACAAAGTTGGCAACCCTTTGTCATAGTGATCCTCATAATTGTTGTGACGTGTACGTACAGATGATATTTTAAAAGTGATGTATGTATGTATGTACTGTACCATGAACAGATGTTCATAAAGTCTGAATCCAGGCAGGGTTGACAAACACGTTTCTGCCAGACACAGGCTGTACATTCACTCATCTGCCTTGGTTGATGTGTAAATTAAGCATTGCAAGCAAACACAATGGAAGTGCCCCATTTGCAGACAAAGTCAGCATAAAGCTGTGAGGTCAACACATCAGGAGGGGTCATCCCAACCAGGCCTGGCTCCAGCTTTTTTGCTGCCCCAAGCGGCAAAGAAGAAGAAGAAGAAAAAAAAAGAAAAACCTGATTGAGCTGCCACCGAAGAGGAAGAGAGGGAATGAAGGATTTGCCGCCGAGTTGCCACCGAAGACCCGGACGTGCAGCCCCAATAATGCAGGGAGTGCCGCCCTTTCTATTGGCCGCCCCAGGCACCTGCTTCCTTTGCTGGTTCCTGGAGCCAGCCCTGATCCCAACTCTGGGGACAAACAATGAATTTGCAGGAGACGGGAGATATAAGGAGAAGGCAAAAGGACACCTCTTTATCCTTCACTGAGGAAGCAAAAGGACAGTGCTTTTTGCAGTCACGAAAGGGGGATCCCGGCCAGCTGGTTGAAGATGCTGGGAGATTGCTTTGGATGAGATCAGCCTCTTTAGACAGAGGTTTAGTCTGTTATGTTTAGACTCTAGGAAGTGCGCTCTACTTTGTTTTGAATGTAACCATCCTGTTTCCATTATCCTTACTCACTGTCTCTTCAATCTTAATCTTTGATGATAAACTTCTGATTGTTTTCACTATAAATATATCTCAGTGCTCTGATGTCCTATAGGAGCTGGTCTTGTGTTGAACCAGTCAAGATGCTTGTAGTGTTCTCCTGGGGACAGCAAACCTGGTAATTTCTGTGAGCGTCCAGTGTCAGAGGCTGGACGTAATAGGAGAACTCTTCAAAGGGAATCAGGGAGTGGGGTGCATCTACTGTTCACCTGCAAGGCAAAGTTTGGCTGGCATAGCCCAGAGAAGATTGTTTGGGTATCTGACAACTGGTGGTGTCAGGGAGCTGACACCCAGTGCAGCACAAGCAAATCTCTCTCATGCTGAAGGCAGGGAGGTAACAAGGTGACTCACAACCCTGGGCACCCTAAGAATTGTTACTGATGGATAGAAGCTCAGTATAGGACTTACCACTTCCCCGCGGGTGACCTGGAACGAGCCAGACTCTGTCTTTACATATTTCAAGGAGGTAAATTCTGTCTTCATGGACTTAGGGACTGAGTCTGCCCGGATGTCCATCTTGGAACGGATACGCTGGGATGGAAGAACGAAAGATAGATCCCAACAGCACTTATCTTCAGCACATAACCCATCCACATCACCCCTTCCCACCTGCCCAGGAGGTGGCAAAGGGCTCCACTGGTCTTTCCCTGGCAGAATGCTCCCCCTACCCAGTGGCTTGATTCTCTGAACTAGACTGAGACCCCAGAGGTCGTCTCTTACCTCGAAAGCCACGCGAATCAGCTCCACAATATTGGAGGAGTCTTCCTGCAGCACCCCAATTTCCGAGATGGGGAAATACTTGTGCAGCTTCTGAAAAATAAAGGGAGACGAAGCTAAGCCACAAACCCTTGAAGGAACACTGCGGTTCCGGAGACACCCATGCAAGGGTTCATTTCCATAAACCAGCAGCAAAGGCAACAGAGCCCTGCCCTCAGGCTACGAACAGCCAATGGGAGTTTGTGCTGGAGCTGACAGCTGGTGGGTGGCGTTTCTCTGAAGCCTGTCTAAAGCGAGATATCCCTGGCCCCATCTTGCTCAGGTTGTTTAAGTCAGTTATTAATAAAAAGCAGTGGCTTCCCCCATGTCACCTCCAGATTCAGAACGAGCATCACTCCAAACACGACAGCAGTGAAGATGCACAGTGGGGAATGGCTGGGGGCACCTTCAAATCAGCAGCTGCTGCTACCATCAATTTTCTATGCACAGGACAGGCGGCACGTGGGACCTTATCGTTCTGAATTCCCTCCTCCTCCACCCTCATCAGCACGACAAACCCAGTGGGACAACCCCGCTCAGTCCAGGGGAAGGGCCCAGGGATCTTTACGGGGGGATGGATTTGGAGGGTGGCCTACTCAATGCCCAGAAGCGAGAAGGACCTCTTCCTTTCTGCACCCCATACCTTCCCCACTTTAATGTAGGCTTTTCTCTGGCACTTGCCATTGCAGTGCCTGGACCCCACAGCACCAGAATGAATTTCACCCCTGGAGTGGGGGAAGGGTGATTATCCCCATTTTGCAGTGGGAACACGGAGGCACAGAGATGAAGTGACTTGCCCGAGGACACTCAGGGAGTCTGCGGCAGAGGTGGGAACAGAATGGAGGTCTCCTGAGTCCCAGTCCAGTGCCTTATCCACAAGGCCATTCTTCCCTTTGCCCTGTCATTAGCCAAACATTTGCACAACACACCTCCCCAGATCTTCCTCTCACCTAACACAACAGGCACCTCAGTAGCATTTCACTAACCAGCTCGAGGTGGAACGAGAGCTAGGCCTGAGTGAAAAACCTGGATTTCACCATCTGCAAACTGTGGGAAGGTTCTCATTCGGATCAGAACTTGACAGCTGTCCCCTCTCTCTATAATAGGCCAAACCAAAACCTGGGTTCTGCAGCTGGACACACTCAGACCCCTACCTTACGTCTCAGACCCATCTTCATATGGAGCTCAAATACCTTCAGCAGGAAAACAGAGCCAGAGATCGCCTCAGGAGAAAAACACACCTGAGACAAACCTCACCAGCCACTGGATGTCCTCACTGCTTCCCAAGAAACATATACCCAAGCCCTGCCCACCAGCACTGAGCCCCACAGGAAGTCAGAATGGGGGGTTCCTGTGGATCTGATAGAGCTCAATAGCAGCCTCGCCCCACTCCAGACTGATCAGTCCCTGGCACCCGCTGAAGATGAAGGCAGATTAGGTGATGTGGTTTAACACGTCAGAGAAGAGAGGAACATGTGCCCCCTCCCCAGGAGTCCTCCTTAGGAAGTAATTTAAGGCTCCAGGTTCAGAAGTACTGAGTGCTGGCAGCTCCCATTGATGCTCATCATGGCTGAAGTCAGGACCCTTCGCTCCTTGAGCTGCAATGCCCAGTTCAGAGTGGGTAGCGGTGCCACATCACACGGCCCTTTTGCTCCATCGCAGGAGAGGGGAGAGAGACGCGAGGGGAAGGGGAAATGCCAGAGTATGCCAACAAAGGAGAGCGCCTGAAAAATTCAGTTTCTGGAGAACCTAAATGAGACATTTTGACTTGCTGGCTGCCTGTCTGAAACCAGAAAGTGAAACTGACAAGGGCCTTCCAACCAAGAAGCTGCCGTTTTGCTGATGGAAAGTGGAATTGTATTGGCAAAACTGAAATTTTTCCCCACAGAAAATTTCAAAAATGTTGAGAAAAGGGCATTTTCCACTGGGAAATCATTCTGACTGAGAATTCCTGGCCAGCTGACCCCTAGGGTCTTGACCAGCACTCCCTTTGCTTCATCACAGCCAAACTACTAACAGGTTTCAGAGGAACAGCCGTGTTAGTCTGTATTCGCAAAAAGAAAAGGAGTACTTGTGGCACCTTAGAGACTAACCAATTTATTTGAGCATGAGCTTTCGTGAGCTACAGCTCACTTCATCAGATGTATACCGTGGAAACTGCAGCAGACTTTATATACACACAGAGAATATGAAACAATACCTCCTTCCACCCCACTGTCCTGCTGGTAATAGCTTATCTAAAATGATCAACAGGTGGGCCATTTCCAGCACAGATCCAGGTTTTCTCACCCTCCACCCCCCCACACAAATTCACTCTCCTGCTGGTGCTAGCCCATCCAAAGTGACAACTCTTTACATAATCAAGTCGGGCTATTTCCTGCATAGATCCAGGTTTTCTCACATCCCCCCCACCCCCATACACACACAAACTCACTCTCCTGCTGGTAATAGCTCATCTAAACTGACCACTCTCCAAGTTTAAATCCAAGTTAAACCAGAACATCTGGGGGGGGGGGTAGGAAAAAACAAGAGGAAACAGGCTACCTTGCATAATGACTTAGCCACTCCCAGTCTCTATTTAAGCCTAAATTAATAGTATCCAATTTGCAAATGAATTCCAATTCAGCAGTTTCTCGCTGGAGTCTGGATTTGAAGTTTTTTTGTTTTAAGATAGCGACCTTCATGTCTGTGATTGCGTGACCAGAGAGATTGAAGTGTTCTCCGACTGGTTTATGAATGTTATAATTCTTGACATCTGATTTGTGTCCATTTATTCTTTTACGTAGAGACTGTCCAGTTTGACCAATGTACATGGCAGAGGGGCATTGCTGGCACATGATGGCATATATCACATTGGTGGATGTGCAGGTGAACGAGCCTCTGATAGTGTGGCTGATGTTATTAGGCCCTGTGATGGTGTCCCCTGAATAGATATGTGGGCACAATTGGCAACGGGCTTTGTTGCAAGGATAAGTTCCTGGGTTAGTGGTTCTGTTGTGTGGTATGTGGTTGTTGGTGAGTATTTGCTTCAGGTTGCGGGGCTGTCTGTAGGCAAGGACTGGCCTGTCTCCCAAGACTTGTGAGAGTGTTGGGTCATCCTTTAGGATAGGTTGTAGATCCTTAATAATGCGTTGGAGGGGTTTTAGTTGGGGGCTGAAGGTGACCGCTAGTGGCGTTCTGTTATTTTCTTTGTTAGGCCTGTCCTGTAGTAGGTAACTTCTGGGAACTCTTCTGGCTCTATCAATCTGTTTCTTTACTTCTGCAGGTGGGTATTGTAGTTGTAAGAAAGCTTGACAGAGATCTTGTAGGTGTTTGTCTCTGTCTGAGGGGTTGGAGCAAATGCGGTTGTATCGCAGAGCTTGGCTGTAGACGATGGATCGTGTGGTGTGGTCAGGGTGAAAGCTGGAGGCATGCAGGTAGGAATAGCGGTCAGTAGGTTTCCGGTATAGGGTGGTGTTTATGTGGCCATTGTTTATTAGCACTGTAGTGTCCAGGAAGTGGATCTCTTGTGTGGACTGGACCAGGCTGAGGTTGGTGGTGGGATGGAAATTGTTGAAATCATGGTGGAATTCCTCAAGGGCTTCTTTTCCATGGGTCCAGATGATGAAGATGTCATCAATATAGCGCAAGTAGAGTAGGGGCTTTAGGGGACGAGAGCTGAGGAAGCGTTGTTCTAAATCAGCCATAAAAATGTTGGCATACTGTGGGGCCATGCGGGTACCCATAGCAGTGCCGCTGATCTGAAGGTATACATTGTCCCCAAATGTGAAATAGTTATGGGTAAGGACAAAGTCACAAAGTTCAGCCACCAGGTTAGCCGTGACATTATCGGGGATAGTGTTCTTGACGGCTTGTAGTCCATCTTTGTGTGGAATGTTGGTGTAGAGGGCTTCTACATCCATAGTGGCCAGGATGGTGTTATCAGGAAGATCACCGATGGATTGAAGTTTCCTCAGGAAGTCAGTGGTGTCTCGAAGGTAGCTGGGAGTGCTGGTAGCATAGGGCCTGAGGAGGGAGTCTACATAGCCAGACAATCCTGCTGTCAGGGTGCCAATGCCTGAGATGATAGGGCGCCCAGGATTTCCAGGTTTATGGATCTTGGGTAGTAGATAGAATATCCCAGGTCGGGGTTCCAGGGGTGTGTCTGTGCGGATTTGATCTTGCCCAACACTCTCACAAGTCTTGGGAGACAGGCCAGTCCTTGCCTACAGACAGCCCCGCAACCTGAAGCAAATACTCACCAACAACCACATACCACACAACAGAACCACTAACCCAGGAACTTATCCTTGCAACAAAGCCCGTTGCCAATTGTGCCCACATATCTATTCAGAGGACACCATCACAGGGCCTAATAACATCAGCCACACTATCAGAGGCTCGTTCACCTGCACATCCACCAATGTGATATATGCCATCATGTGCCAGCAATGCCCCTCTGCCATGTACATTGGTCAAACTGGACAGTCTCTACGTAAAAGAATAAATGGACACAAATCAGATGTCAAGAATTATAACATTCATAAACCAGTCGGAGAACACTTCAATCTCTCTGGTCACGCAATCACAGACATGAAGGTCGCTATCTTAAAACAAAAAAACTTCAAATCCAGACTCCAGCGAGAAACTGCTGAATTGGAATTCATTTGCAAATTGGATACTATTAATTTAGGCTTAAATAGAGACTGGGAGTGGCTAAGTCATTATGCAAGGTAGCCTGTTTCCTCTTGTTTTTTCCTACCCCCCCCAGATGTTCTGGTTTAACTTGGATTTAAACTTGGAGAGTGGTCAGTTTAGATGAGCTATTACCAGCAGGAGAGTGAGTTTGTGTGTGTATGGGGGTGGGGGGGATGTGAGAAAACCTGGATCTATGCAGGAAATAGCCCGACTTGATTATGTAAAGAGTTGTCACTTTGGATGGGCTAGCACCAGCAGGAGAGTGAATTTGTGTGGGGGGGTGGAGGGTGAGAAAACCTGGATCTGTGCTGGAAATGGCCCACCTGTTGATCATTTTAGATAAGCTATTACCAGCAGGACAGTGGGGTGGAAGGAGGTATTGTTTCATATTCTCTGTGTGTATATAAAGTCTGCTGCAGTTTCCACGGTATACATCTGATGAAGTGAGCTGTAGCTCACGAAAGCTCATGCTCAAATAAATTGGTTAGTCTCTAAGGTGCCACAAGTACTCCTTTTCTTTTTGTGAAACTACTAACAGAGGTTGGTCCAATAAAAGGTAGTACCTCACCCACCTTGACCAGCCAAATTACAGGCTGATGTGGGACCCCTGACAGAGATTTGATCCCATTCAGCATCCGTACAGTTCTCCTCCTAAGCAGTCCCTTTATCTCCCTCTGAGGTACTTATCTGGCCCCATGACTAGGGTGACCAGGTGTCCAGTTTTCGACCAGAACATCCGGTTGAAAAGGGATCCTGGCAGCTCCAATCAGCATTGCTGACCAGGCCACTGACTGTCCGGTTGGTGGTGCCGTGCAGCGGGGCTGGCAGGCTCCCTGTTAGCCTCCATGCCGCGCAGCTGCCGGGAAGCAGCTGGCATGTCCCCCCTCCGGCTCCTACACGTAGGGGCAGCCAGGGTTCACCACACACTGCCCCCGCCCAAGCGCCGCCCCCGCAGCTCCCATTGGCCGGGAACCACGGCCAATGGGAGTTGTGGGGGCGGCACCTATGGACAGGGCAGCACATAGAGCCACCTTGCTGCGCCTCCACACAGGAGCAGGAGGGGAGACATGCCGCTGTTTCTGGGAGCTGCTTGAGGTAAGTGCTGCCCGGAGACTGCACCCCTGACCCCCTCCCATGCTCCAACCCCCTGCCCCAGCCCTTATCTCCCTCCCACCCTCCAAACCCCTCGATCCCAGCCCAGAGCACCCTCCTGCACTTCATGCCCCTCATCCCCAGCCCCACCCCAGAGCCTGCACCCACAGCCAGAGCCCTCACTCCCCCACCCAGTGGGGGCTGGGCCTCAGAGAAGGGGAGTGGCATGGGCGGGGTCTTGGAGGAGCGGTGGGGCAAGGCAAGGCAAGGGTGTTCACTTTTGTGCAAGTAGAAAGTTGGCAACCCTACCCGTGACCAGTGCCTTAATTCCCTGCGCCTCCCACCCAGCTGTCTGCCCGCCCACCCCTTTCACCTCATAGTAGCTGTAGGAGTGGTTGGTGACGGCGAAGATTGGGATGATGTTGTGCTGGCCCAGCAGGCGCACCAGGGTGGGCACGGAGGGGTAGTCCTGCCTGGTGTCGAAGGTATAGGTGCCCACTCCGTTCAGGTGACACTGCTCATCATTCCTCGGCAGGATCCCTGACAGGACGTTGGTGCCATCAGCTTCATAGTGGAAGGCAGACTCGGTGGAGAACAGCAGCAGGTGCGTGCTGTCATTCCTCCAGCCGATCTTCTCCTAGGGCCAGAGGGAAGGGGGGTGATGGGCATTTCATTCACTTGCCCATCAAACACAATGCACAGGGCCAATCCCAAGCGAGCGCGCTAGCGGTGGCAGGCAGGGCTTTTCAGAGCATGGCATCCGACTCCTCACTGAAAGTCACTGGGACTCGGGGTACCAGCCTCCATTTATAATCCCCGCCTTCGCCGCTAGTGCACACATCCAACTGCCACACAGCCCAGGGAATTCAAAAATGGCAGGGGTGAAAGGGGTGAAAGCACCCCTTCCCTGCTCCCCCAGTGCACATCTCCCACCGAGCCTCTGGGGAGGTCCAGGTAGGTCCAGCCACAGTGGAGAAGCAGGCAGTTTCCTGTATATATGTGGCAGGGCGCTAGCCTACTGATAAGGGAAATATCCATTTCTCCAGCCAGCCAGAACACATGCTGCCATGACTTGCTTGGCTCTGGGGAGCAGATCCACACAACCCTAGGAACAAGGGAACACTCAGAGGGCAAGAGGACCCAAGGGGAACACCATAGACTGGGGACACCTTCTCAGTGGGGTTTACTCTAGGAAGACGAGACAAGCTGCCATCTCAGCAACAGCAGCAGGTGCAGCGGACTGGCCATCCTGGGAGAGCAGTAGCTCCCACCAGGTATGGCCCTGAGTTCTGGGCTCAGGTTAGCCACACTGCTAGTCACCCATCCCACCTGCTGTCGCTCTCCCATCAAACACACAAACCATCTAAAGGAGCCAGCCCCCTCCATACTCACCTTACAAACAGCCGTCTGTAGGATGGCATCAAAGCCCCCCTCCGGGGCGTCCAGGTTGCCCGAGATGCGCTCTTTCCTCAGCTTCTGGCTGAAATGATTGATGTTGCTGGTCAGGCGGATGACATTTTTGAAGGAGAAGGGCGAGTCGGCATCCCTCCAGGGCTCTCGCAGCCTGATGGAGAAAAGGGGAAGCAAGGGCTTTCCAATGGGGCTTGGCTACTGAAGTCATCATGAGATCACCACATATGGTGCCGTAAACATGTCTGGCACAGAGCGAGGTACTGCCCCAGCAACCCATGGCAAGGCATGGGACAAGAGGGTGTGCAAGGAAGGGCCCTGCATGAGGATCACCGGTGAGAAGGTAGAAGAGATCCCGGGAGCAATTGGTGCAGAAAGAAGGATTAGAAGCAGGAGAGACAGGTGGTCCCAGAACAAAGACCCCTTTTCCAGGTAGCAGGGCAGCACAAAGGCACGAAGCCGAGAGGTCCAAAAAGTGACATGAGGAGCAGTGAGGGGAGACGAGTGGGAGGAGCACTGGCAGCAAGAACAGAGACATGAGTAGGAGCAAGATCATGTAGGGCTCTGAAGTCTAGTCTCCTGAAGGTGGTAATACTTTGGTCTAATTCTGGTAGTTGGCATGGCATGGAAGGAACTGGATGGTGTTTAGTGATGTACAGAAGGCCAGACTAGATGATCTGGTCCCTTCTGGCCTTAAACTCTATAAAAGAATGTGCGGCTCCAATTTGTTGTCATAGGAAAGGGGAAACCAAGGATGGGACCCAAGGAGTGGGGCCGACGTGGGCTTGTGGCAGGACAGGCAGCCGATGGCATTAGCTGTGGCGTTTGAGAGACACCAGTGCGGAGGGCAGGCAGCCGATGGCATTAGCCGTGGCGTTTGGGAGACACCAGTGCGGAGGGCAGGCAGCCGATGGCATTAGCCGTGGCGTTTGGGAGACACCGGCGCGGAGGGCAGGCAGCCGATGGCATTAGCCGTGGCGTTTGGGAGACACCGGCGCGGAGGACAGGAAGGCAGGAAAGAAGAGGTTTGCAGTTATCAAAGCAAGACTGTGGAGCAGGGGAGCCAATTAGGAGACAGACAAGCGTTCCCTGACCAATCTCATCGAAGCCTGTCCATTGGGGCCTCTCAGCGTCACTTACTTCTCAGGTCTCATGTCTGTTTGTGGAGCCGAGACTTTGTCCACAAACTTGCCAAATCCAATGGTGTAATTGGAGGTCAGGGTTTGCAGGAATTCCGCTGGCAGGGAGGGAGGAAGGGAGAGAAAGCAGTGAGCTGGGATGCACTGGCAGGGACCAGAGCCCTTTTCCCATCATCTTCTCATGGTAAGGCTTCATGGTAAGGCTCCTGGCTAGTGCAAGGGGTTATGGGATGAGGGGAACAGAGCGTTTGGGTCATTGGGCACCACACAGAACACACCAGCTCTCTAGGACACTGGTTCCCAGCTTTGCTTAGTATGAGACTAGAAAAGAGGACTCATGATGGGCCCTGTAGTGCAGCAAGGGCCAGAAGGAACACTCCAGGTGGGGAGAGGGACCCCAGGCCAGAAAGAGCCAGGTGCGTCACTAAGCAGCAAGGGCCAACGACAAACACCTGGTGGCCAGATGCACACAGCCCCTCTGCCGGTTGTGTTACTCTTCCCTGCCCTGGGTGGAGATTCTCTGCCCATGCTGTCAGTAGGGGGACCTGGCTTCCCTTCCTCCCCTAGCATGCCTAGCTCCAGCCTCACCTAGCTTCTGGCCCATCTTTTTGAGGTTGCTCAAGTCGTCAGACATGGAGTAGGAGAAGTCCATAAGGATATAGAGATCCACAGGGCTCTCAAGGGGCTGGAAGACGTCCATGTTGAAGCTGGCCTCCTCACCAGCTCTCAGCCGCATGATCATCTGCTGTGGGGACACCTGGGTTTTCTTCAGAGACATGTCAATGCTAACATTCTGCCAGAGGAAAGAGCGGAAAAGCATTAGCAGAGCAGCAGAGGAGATTCACCCTGGTGCTTGCGATGAGGGGCAGGGGTAATAGCTGGTGTCTGGCGAACAAGGGGTCAACTTTCATTCTCTTTCCCCTTGCATGTGCTCAGGGGAAGCGCTGCTGGGGACACCTGGCAGGACTGACACCAGTGGGAAACCCCTGCACCCAGGTGAGTCTGGGTTAACCCCCCAGCTGGAGACATCTGTTTATTTTTGTGCTAACTAGGTGGATTGCTTCTTATCTGTGCGATTTCTAAGGACAGGCCCTCGCTGACTGTGCCCGGATGTGTCTAACCTACCTGAGGATGGGGAGCTTTGAGAATAGTTTATTCTGCTGCCCTGTCAGCATTAGTCCTTCCATTGCCCACCTCACTCCAGCTGCACCAGCGTTGGCAAGGGGGAAGCCCCAGAGAGGCCATGTTGATTGGGCAGGGTGAGAGGACAGTGCAAGGGCACCAGCAGCTGGTCTACGTTAGGGCTGGAGGAGCTACACTGTACGAGAGCAACAGAAGGGAGAGGTTGCCCCAAATTCGCCGTGCCGACGAGGCCTCGGTGCCCTTTGTGGTGGGGTGGAGGTGGCCGTTACCCCTTTCCAAGGGGAACTGTGCTGTGATCCCAAACTCATTTCGGGTGGGCTGCCAAACAGGCATCAGGGCTTCCAATCAATATCTATCAACTGGAGCTGGGCAACATGGGTCAATTGTCGACGACATTGTTTCCAATAGGGCGGAAAAAGATCCAGGACATTCTCACAACATTTCCCTGCCCCTCCCCCATGTCCTGATCCACTCAGCTGTCAACCATGGCTGAATTCTGACTGGCACCCTAGAGGTGAAAGGCTGTTATCCCATTACCCACGCCAGAGTTAGCCTGTCAAGCTGCCTCACCCACTCCTGCATTTCGAACAGAGCTTGACATGCGCGTGTCTTTTTGTTCATGCATCCGTTTCACCGGCAGGTCTTTGAGAATGGGGTATGTTAATGAGCTAGCAAAGGGCATATCCTGTTTTTGAGTGGGCCTTATGTAAACAGTAGCTGCTGGTATGTATATTCGCCTAGCCGAGTGGAATTGCAAAGAAGTATTTAGGAACCTGGTGGGGGTTCTCTCAGCGGGTTATAACAACCAGAAGGTGAGGTTTGGGACATGCTGATGCCCCTTGAAGAGCTGTGCGAATGCAATCAAGTGAAAGGCTTGTCAAGGAAACAAGGAGCAGAACATTGGTGGATTATCTCCAGGGCTCTGGTGCTCTTTGCTCACCTTCTGCACCAGCATCTCTCCTCTCACGTACACAATGCTGGCCCGGATGCAGCCATAGCTCACCAGGTTCTCTCTCAGGTCACATCGGGATTCTTTGAAAGTCTGTGAACACAGGAGAGGAAAACCCACTGAGTTAGGAAACAAACAGAGTCCCGGGAGGATGGGAAGCATTCAGGGAGGAGGGATCAGGCAGCCAGCCCCTCCTCCGCTAGGATAGCAGCGGGCAGGAGTGGAAAAAGCTCAGCTGGGCAGGCATTTCGGCTTCATGAGAGACTGCCCCTCTGACACCTCTCCCTCGCAGGCCCCAGCTCCCCTCCCATTCGTGAGGAACAGGGTGTTCAGCCAGTCAGCCCTTTCCCCATGCAAACACTTACCTCCCGGAAAGCATATAACAGATACTGAAACGTCATCTTAGATAGAAAAGAGGGAGAGTCCCCCACCTGTTCACTCTTCTATCTCTCCCACATTGTGGGTTTAGCATTCTCTGTGCTTCACCCGCCTGTGTTTTATATCCCAATTCCTCTCTGCTCCCTCTCTCCTGCCCTCCCCCTTCTATTGAGCCAAGGATCAGGCTTATCTGAGTCTGAAATTACAACAAAGCCCTCTTAAAAATTCCTCTCTGGTCCTCATTTCCTGCATTCTTGGTTCACTTGAGTCCCTCCTCTCACCTTCCTTTCTCTCCCCACACAGAGCCAGCATCTCTTGTGTGGTCTACCCTATGTGCCCCCCTCACCCTGCTGGGACCGGGGCCCTGCTACCTGACAAAGCAGCTTTGCAAGAAATGCTTTTGCACTCTCGCCACTGGGCTATCCAGCTCACGTCTGGGCAGATCTGCACCGTGGTAACTTGTGCCATTGGACTGGAGAGACTGGGGACCAGGAGGCAGTGGGGCAATTGTTTTGTCTGATCACAGCCCAACCCCTCATCTCACAGTGGGGTACGTCAGACCCAAATGCCCACCCCTCGCTCTCATTCCAGAGTTGGGGGTTGGCGTCTATCCCTGAGCAGCCAGAGATCCCTGCTCTGAGCCCACCACAAACCATCCCCCTGCCTGTGTTATACTGCCGCCAGGTTCATTTCCCTTTGGACCCATTTCTTGAGGAAGCAGAATCTAAAGGAGCCTTTTAAACAGCTCCCCTTACAGGGAGGCTCTCCGGCAGTCTGAACAAGGACTGCACTGAGGAGGCGGCAGGTCAAAAGAGAGATGGGCCTGAGCCCAAATCATCTGTGAGTGACAGACAGAGACAGCGTGGAGCCACATGTTGCCAAAGCCGGGATCCAGCCTATTAGAAGGAGAGGGCTCAATTGTGAAGCTGGATCCAAACACAGGTTCCCTCTCTTGGAGGCTGATGGGGGGCCTCTCTCTAGTGAAAGGCCACATGACCACACTGTGCGTGACATAGTCCTGAGAGGGGAGGCGCTCACTTCGTCCGTGCAGTAGGAGCAGTCCTTGCTCACTCGGATACACTCCGTGCAGCTTCTTGCTCTGGAGGCCACGCAGCGATTAACTAGGAGGAAAGATCAAACACATCAAGAGCGGAAGAAGCTGGCCTGACCTCGGAAAGCGAGAAGGGGCGAGCCATGATCAGAGGGGCTGGGCCTGCTCCCAGTCAATAGGAGTTTTATCGCAGACTTAGTGGGAGCTGGCTCAAAACCAGAGACAGCGTGTATGTCAGACAGACCAACGGAAGGGAGCTATGGAGCAAGTGCACGCAAAAGAAATAGGAGGGTATGTTAAAGAGCATTGTCTTGGATAGCGCCAGGGCCTAACAGTCAGGACACCTGGATGCTACCCACAAGCTCTGCCACACATTCAGCATTTCAAGAGTGATTGGAATAGGAGTAGATACAAAGCGGCTGCTTAGCAGGCCAGGAGAAGGCAGCTGGAGAGGCATGTGCCCCAGAGCTCCCAGGGCCAAGGACTTCAGCAGCGTAACCAAGTAGGAGAGACAGACACAAGAGCTGAACTTACTTCTGTTCTTTTGGCACAAGCATACGTCACAGACCATGACCAACAGGAGCAGCCCGGCCAATGCCCTTTTGAGCAGCATGTCCATCCTCTTCCTCCTGGAAATGCACAAGCCAACAATGTTACAAGGAGTGTGTGTGGAGTTTTATATTGGGGATAACCCATGCAACGCATCCAACACATGAGCAATCACAGCCGAGCAGTTGTGGGACTGCAGAGGACTCTACCTCCAGACAGGTTCGCAGCATGGGGTGATTGGCAGAGCCCCCACAAATAGGAACACCCCCACCACACAGAGAGATGGGGGGAGGGGGGGATTTTATACTGGAATTAACTCATGGGATACTGGAGTAGGACAGGGGAATGAAGCAGGGTCTTTAGTTTCCCAAACAAGTGTTTCAGCTTTAAAGTGGCTAGTGATCTGTGCAAATGGGTTGAATATCCCAGTGCATCCCTATGTGTAGTGCCCTCATGCTGGCAGCAGCCACTGCCCTGTTCAGCACAGATTTTATTGGGTCACCTTCCCCTGGCAGGCTCACTCATATCCAGGAACACGCTGTGCTCTGGGACTGGAGCCCAGAAGGGGCCCTAGAACGATGCCTAGCAGCAATTAGGTCTGGTTAGCAGTCTCTGAATAGAAAAATGCCCAGCCCTGTAATATCGGGGTGCTGCAGGTCTGGTGTGAGGTACATCAGCAGAGCGGCAGGACAAACAGATGGGGGCTGCGGGCTGGGATCAAAGTGCCCTGGCAGAGCTGCATGGGGAGGCATGCACAATGCTTGCCTGGCTCTGGCAGAGCTATCAGTCTCTGCTCAGGAGAGGACCCAAGCAGTCTCCCTTCCCCTCTCTTAGCTGCCCACTCCTCCCTTCACAGAGATCCTCCTTGCTACGGAGTCGCTGTGTGTTTTAAAGGCTCCAGTAACCGCTGGTTCTTCTGCACCCTTCTCAGCAGAGCTACAAACACATATAGTTTTCTGCCTTCCAGCCCCAACTAAGGAGGAGAAACCACTAATACTGACTGTCTCCACCATCCCATGGTTGCCTATGGACCAACAATAGGGTAGGCCATGGCTAATCAGAGCCCAGTGCCAGTCAGCCTGCATGACTCACAGCCAGAGCAAATACCTCCTTTTCCCGGGGTCAGGGCCCAGTGGTCTAATGAGAGACGGAGAAGGAAAAACAAGATTTTCCTCCTTTTGGCTATTTTCCATTGTAGTAAGAATTTCCAGAATGGCACCAACCACTCTGGCAAGTGCCAGACATCCACGGTGAACCCTGATGTTTGGTCCCGTGACGGGCTATTGAACCGGTTTGCATCTTTGAGACACCCTCTGTCTGTTCCAAAGCTGCAGCCGCACTGAAGTCAAACTAGTTGCAAAACGCTGACTTGTTAAATCATGTTTCCTGTGGCCATGCATGAACTTGCAATATTTTATTCAGCCATTAGATGTCTCTGGCTACTGCACAGCACTCTAGATGGGGTGTGGGGCCCCCGGGGAAACAAAGGAGATAAAACTTTGCAGAAGATCATTTAAGAGTTTGTCGTTTTCTATTATAGACACCTCCTCTGCCAGGAGGACTGATTCCCTGTATTGCTACATGTGGGCAGGAAAATTAAAAATGTCAAAGCCGAAGTCTAGCTTAAGGTACTAAAGCACCTCGAGCTAGAGGATGCAGGCACAATGCAAGGTTGACTCTCACAACAACTCTCTAAGGTGCCACAAGTTCTCCTTTTCTTCTCACAACAAAGACTCCCTGGGGCTAGTTGGTTTGTTTCTCCATCTCAGGGTAATCCATGCTCCTGAGCATGATGTTAAAATATCAAGAGGCTGTAAAACCCTTCAAAGCAGGAATCTTTCAGGAAGGTGGGAATGATGCGTCTTGGGTTGTCGCATACAGCAGCAGCTCACCATTTCCCACTGGGAGACCCCCCCCAAAGAACTGGGCTTTGTGAACTAGCTGGTAAGGGCCTTATATAAAAGCGTCTGAAATCAGCAGAAAGACTCCCATTGACTTTATGGGCTTTGGGCCAGGCATAGATCCAGCAAAGACTTGCCTCCGGGTCCCTTCCAGCCCTACCTCTCTATAGTTCTGCGTTTATCTGCATGGTGAGTTGCTCCATTGAAGGCCACCGAACTGCTCGCAGTGTATAACGCTGAGCATGTGCATCAGTCTGCCAGATCAGGGCCTCAGCACTCAAGCACTGGCCTCTCCCTCTTGGTGTTATACTGCATTTTTCATTAGAGCACCTGGATAACATGACGAGATGTACTCTGTTCATGTACCTTGCTGCTGGGGCTTAAGCATTCAGTCCCACTGGTTTATCAAGTTTGAAGTGAATTTAGAGCTGGTGGAAGGTGCTACCATTGGCAGCCATGGAGATCAATGTCCTCTGGTTACTCATAGCTGTGGCCTCCTACTCTGACTCCCTGACAGAGCATTTCAGCCCGACCTGGAGGCACCCATCTCTAAGGAGTCTGAGGATATTTCAACCTCTGCCCGCATTCAGACTTTGGTGCTTCTGCTGTCACTGCCAGCAAAGTTCCAGTTAATGCCAGGTGCACTGTGGGCAGCTGCCCATTAGGCACTGCACTGAGACGACCATCTCATTTGGCACCAGATGGTAACAGTTTCCAATTACTGCTGGGGGGGAATGGTTCTGAAATGGGGAAAGTCTCCCATTCCCATGAGCCGCCTCCTGCCCTACTGAACCCTAGTCCTGATGACATCATCGTAACGAGAGGCAGGGAAACACCAGTTGCTCAGACTCTCCAGCAACGAGCACTATAGAAATGCCTTGAAACACCATCCACAATTGAGACCCAAAGGATGGGCTCTCTTCCCAAGCAAGAAGGAGAAAACACAGAGGTAAACCACCCTGCATTGCCACTACCGGCACTCAGCAAAACCCACTCCACCACACATCCAAAGAGCCCATGGCTGTTGTGAAGACCCTGCATTTGATGCCTGCTATGTCACACAGGCACTGGTGTTGGCATGCCAAGCTCACAGATATATATAGTTCTCCAGAGGAGGAAGGGTACTTGGATTGTTTAGAGAAAAGACAGGAAAGAACCATTAGGGGAGAGTTTGAATCACCATGTGCTATTCAGTGCCTTGGGCGCACAGGCTGCCATCAAGTCGTGGTGAGCGGTTAGATAAAAGACGATAAAATCCAGCCCCATTTTACCAGCAATGTTGCCATGCAACAGACCAGGGAACGTGCGCGTCTGTAAGCACCCTGTTAGACGGTGTGCTCTTCAGGGCAGGGGCTGTGGTCTCTTACTAGGGTTTTATATTACACCTAGCACAATGGGTCTCTGACTCCGAGCGGGATCTCCAGGCACTACTGTCATACACATAATAAGGAGTGCTGTAGCCCCCACTTTTCCCGCTAGCACTTCTCGCCTAGCCACCCTAAACGTTGCTGAGTAGGTCCAGTGCTCAGTCCTGCCCTGAGCACCACATGGTCAGATCAATGTGGAGATGCCTTGGGGAAAACACCCCCTCAAAACAACCCAAACACACACCAGGCTCGCCAAGAATGATCACAGCTGCCCAACAACAGGTCAGATCATTTCAGAACCCCGACGAGCAGGAGTTAAAAGCAGGAGATTACTGTGTCTTAACAACCACAGAGTGTTTTGAATTCTCCTTTTGTCTCACATTTCCTCTTAGCCAGTGAAAACTGCTCCAAACCCCTGCGAGGAAGTGAACATTTCTCAGTCGAAAAGATTTGTTAGAGTGTATTCTCCATGCACTCACTAGCAGATGCGTGGTCTGTTATGCTCTTGGTTTCTCTCTTTTCTAAAGGTGCAGCTTAGGAAAGTAGCAGCGCTGGCCAGTTCTAGCACAGGGAACGCAAGAGGGTGCAGCAGGCAGGGCACCAGACTGGGAGCCCAGAGACCTGGGATCTAAATCCTGACTCTGCCATTAACTCACATTGCAACTTTGGGCAAGTCATTTCAAGAAGGGCTGAGGAGAAAGAGTACTGGACTAGGACTCAGGAGACGTGGATTCTATTCCCAGCTTTGCTATTAGCCTGCAGGGTGACCTTGAGCAAGTCACTCTGCCTCCGTGCCTCAGTTTCCCCACTTGTAAAAGGGGAATAATGACACTGACCTCCTTTGTGAAGTGCTTTGAGAGCGACTGATGAAAAGCACTAGATAAGAGATGGGTGTTAATTATCTCTACGCTTCAATTTCTTGATCTGTAAAATGGGAATATGAATGCAAAATGTAAGTTGTATTACTGTAGCAGTAGAAATTCCCAACTGCAATCAGGGCTTGTTTGTACTAGGTGGTGCATATACACACGATAAGACATAGTCCCTTCCCTGAAGGGGTTACAGGTTAAATCGGCAAAGGGTATGAGAAAGGAGCAACCACCCTCTGCAACTCCTTTTAAAGAGTGACTTTTAAAAGTATGTGGGTGCCTCAATTGAGCCACCTTAAAGTCTTGGCCAGAGTCTGCTCCTTGTACCTTTACTGAACCAATATGGCTGTACCAGCTGGCAGGATGGGTTAGGCATAAACCTGACAGGATGCTGCATCTGGATTCCAGGACAGTTTTAATGGAAGAGAGGTCCATGTGTGCAGCCCTGGCTGGAAAGGGGAGCACCTCCTCCCAACAAACGTGAAGTGCATCATTAATAGGGGCACAGACCAATGGCGTATTAATACATGTGAAAGAGCCAGAGCTGCTTGAAAATCGATATCCTAGGAAGGCATCATATCTCGATAAGTACCCTAAGAATTGCTAGACTGGATCAAACCTGAAGTCCATCTAGTCCAGTATGCAGTCTCTGACAGTGGCCAACACTCAAAGCTTCAGAGTAAGGTGCAAGAAACCTTGCATTCGGCAGATGTGGGAGAATCTGTCCCCCATGGTAGATTTCATGCTAATCCCCAATAGCTGTTGGTTTAAACCCTGGCGCATGAGGTTTAATATCCCTTGCAGGATTTATTAGCATTAGCTATAATTCTGGATATTCTTATCCCTATAAACATCCAGCCCCTCTTTGAATCACACTATTTTTTGGCTTCAAGAACATCCTGACACAACGCATTCCACACTTGGTTTGTGTGTTGTGTGAAAA